CAAATACTGCCGCTACCTATTTTCCAAGGCAAGATGTACTGTGCTCCCCTCGGAAATTATTTGAGGCAGATTTGCGGGTGTTCCATATAATGCAAGCCTTTACCCATGCAGTAACCAGGAAGTGGAATGTATGAAATACATCTTATTGTCCTGCCGTTTTTATAAGCAGGCTCGACAAGACATTATTAGGCCATTACTGAGCAACTTACCTGGCAGCTCAATTTTATGTTAAGTTTTTTTCTAGAAGATAATCTTCCCCATGTGATTCTGCCCATTGCCAAGTTTCTCTCAGAGGCAGCTAGGATAAGACAACTTCCTGTGCTAATAATAAGCTCTCAACTTGCATGGATCAGCTTCTGGAAGTTATCTTTGTAGAACTTTTTTAAAAATGTAAAGTGCTGACTTGCTTGGATTTAGAATAAAAACATTTTATTTGTTTCTTTCAATGGTTTTCAGCTTTACTACTCAGTCTGAAAAAGAAAAGCAGGAGTGGATCGAAGTGTTGCAGCAATCCATAGCTGAAACACTCTCTGATTATGAAGTTGCCGAGAAGATCTGGTTCAATGAATCGAACAGGACCTGTGCGGATTGTAGAGCTCCAGATCCTGACTGGGCATCCATCAATCTCTGTGTTGTCATTTGTAAAAAGTGTGCAGGTAATCATTAAAGAGCTCAGAGGATTCTGTCACAGAGCATCACCGCCTTAAAGGGCATGGCACAACATAGGCATATTTAGTTCTAATTTACCCTAGTCTGTTTTTTTTTGTCCTCTTATCAGTCATTATGAATCCTAAATACTTTTTTCCCCCTTCCTGGCTATGGATTTCATACATTTGGCCCTCCAAGTGTTGTTGGCCAGCAGCCCTAGCCATTATACCTAATCGTGAGCAATCCTGGAACTTGTAATTCTGCAATATTCCAGAAGGTTCCAAGATTCCCACCCCTGCTGTACACCATGAGCTGGAAAACTTCTCTGTCCCTAAATCTCTGCTTGCACTATGGTTATACCGAGAGAATCAATTGGGCATCTCTATCTCTTGGGGGCATCTTGTCCCTGTATTCTCCTGCTGTCTCTATAATGAAATAATAATAATAAAATATAATAAAACTTTATTTATATACCTTCCTATCTCCCTGAAGGGATTCAGGGCAGTGAAATGCTAGCCAATTTCATCTGAACATCATTTCCACATGAAAAAAGTCATAAGAATAGAAACAAAATTCTTAGGAGACTTTGACCCCTTTTGAACAGTTCTTTAATACATGGTGGGATTTGATGACTGCCCATGCCCAAATTCCATGTTTTTATGGTAAATTATGTATGTAGTAGTAGATATTTGTGCAGCCTGATGCAGAAGTTAAGTTTGCCCATGCGTGGTCTATAAGGTGAGCAGGAGTGCTGGAACATCAGGATATCAAAATGGTGGCCAAAGCAGCATAGATGCAAATGTTTACAGTTGTCAAAAATCAGTAGGTGAAGTTCCCTGGATTTTGGAACATAATCCAGGGAACTTCGCCCACTGTTTTTTCATTTTCCAAAATCTAGGGAACTTCACCTACTGATTTTGGCAACTGTAAACATTTGCATCAATGCTGCTTTGGTCACCATTTTTATATCCTGATGTTCCAGCCCTCCTGGTCACCTTTTAGACCAGGCATGGGCAAACTTCAGCCCTCCAGGTGTTTTGGACTTCAACTCCCACAATTCCTAACAGCTAGTAAGCTGGTTGGGATTTCTGGGAGTTAAAGTCCAAAACACTCAGAGGACGAAGTTTGCTGATGCCTGTTTTCGAGGCATTTGGATGTCATGGGTCCTCCTGTTTGAGAATGAGACTCTGTTAGACTGTTTTGAACTATTTTAAAGCAATTGATGCCCAAAACCTTAGGACAGGAAAAGCTGGGGAATTAGGGCTATTTCAGGGGCTTTGTTGACCAATCCCTTCTAGGACAATATGCTTAGAGGATGTTTTGTGTGTGTGTGTATGTGTGTCAGGAGTGACTTGAGAAACTCTAAGTCACTTCTGGTGTGAGAGAATTGGCCGTCTGCAAGGACATTGCCCAGGGGATATCCAAATGTTTTACCATTCTGTGGGAGGCTTCTCTCATGTCCCCACATGAGAAGCTGGAACTGACAGATGGGAGCTCTCCCCACTCCCTGATTCAAACTGCCTTTCGGTCAGCAGTTCTGCTGGCACAAGGGTTTAACCCATTGCGCCACCGGGAGTGGGGCAATGGGATGGTCATCCTATTGAATACATGGAGGTTGGCCATGCATAGATATCCTACCTCCACTCCTACCACCTTACACTCACTTAATATACCCAAATAGCCTTGCAAAACCCTTCTCTTCCTTGCCCTTTTATGTACTATTAGTCCATAATAAAGTTATTGCTTTTTTTCTTATGCTTTTAAAATAAATAAACAAAAGCACATTTTGGGTTGTTGTACGTTTTTCGGGCTGTATGGACATCACAACCTCTTAGGATGGCTGCCATAGATGCAGATGAAACGTCAGGAGAGAATGCTTCTAGAACATGACCATACAGCCCAAAAGCCTTCGACAATACAAAAACACATTTCGTTTCATTTTGCTATTTTGATTCAGGGCAGCACAGATCATTAGGACCCAGAGATTCAAAGGTCCGAAGTCTAAAAATGGATGCCAGCATTTGGAGCAATGAACTTATTGAGGTAGGAAACAATAGGATGGAAAAAGAATATGATGCATAATCTCTTCATAGTAAAATATGCAAGCACTTGGTGGGTAGTTTCTTGGAATTTAATTTGATTATCAGTATGGATGTTGCTTAGAATTTTTTAAAAAATGTTTTCATATCAGGCTGAGCTTTCTTGGAATGAAAAGCTTGCACATTAAATAGTAAATATATTACTCTCCTTTCTAAATAAAATATTTCATCTTTCTTGTAGGTTGGAATGAGCTTCATGCATTAACTATAGATAATAATAGTTTTCTTGGTTGGAATGAATAAAATGGTTTTAGAACTGACATCTTTTTAATGACAAGCTACTAGAGTTTGCTTGCAATTACATATATATACAAAATAGTGAGCTTTTATTTATGTGTCACATTATCTAGGTTCCACAACACGTGGCTATTCTAAACTATCTGATCCATTAGTCAGAGGCAGGAGTCAGGTTGCCCTGTAGAAGTTGTTGAACAGGGTTTCCATGAGTCCTATCTAGCTTAACCAATGATGAGGAATGCAGCAAACTATATTCCATCAGTATCTGGAGACCTACATGGTTACCACCCCTGCTCTTAGGGCTCTTCCATACAGCACTATATCCCAAAATATTAAGGCAGAAAATCCCACAATATCTGCTTTGAACTGGGCTATCTGAGTCCACACTCAGATAATGTGGGATTTTCTGCCTTGAAATTCCGGGATATAGGGCTGTGTTGAAGGGTCCTTAGATTCCTTGAGATTGTCATTATATTTTACATGTTTCACATTATCCTGTTGTCTTTCTGTGTATTTTATCACTAATCTCCATAGTTATTATTTGAGATATGTTTAGGAATGCAGTTCCAGAAGAAAATATTAAAACTGCTGGAGATCTTATAGACTTCACAATTCTGTCTCTTGGGAGTCTTGTTTTGAGAAATAATTTTCTAGCCATTAGGACATGAAGATTTTGTTCATGGTGTAGAAAGAACCATAGAACAAAATAGTGTCCTTGTAGCTCCTTTCTCATTTCCAAGATGAAGCAGAATAAATTACATAAAATAAGAGAGCTTATCAAATTACATTATTTTGCATATTAGACATATATATTCAATTATATACATAATGTAATATTAGAATTAAATATTTGTTGCTGCAGAATTTGAAATACCTAAGTACAAGCATTTTTAAGGATCCAAAAAAGATTCAAAAAAAGGTTGAAAGATTCAAAAAAAGGTTCCTGAATGTCAGGACACCTTGCTGAGATAAATTCTGGACTGTTGAGAATCCTCAAAGTGCAGGACACTCAACAAATTTTTCATGCAGTGGTTTTATGTTGTTCTTGTTTTTTCACATAAAATTCAAAAAATATTTATTCTGTACAAAAACCACCTACCCATGTTGAACAACATTTTCTGATCAAGAAACATCCTTTTATAACCAGAAACTAATAATTCTGTACAGAAATACTTTTTTTTACAGTAATGCTGTTTTCTGCACAGAATATACTGTGTCCAGCCCCCTACCCCTCACAAAATGTATGCATATTTTGTGCAGAATAAATCCCAAACTCTGAAAAGTTTTCACACATTTTCTCGCAATTGAAATAAAATTTCTAAAATTATTAACAGCTTTTAGTTAGATCAAAAATAGCAAAGAATTACATCCCTAATTACACAAATCAACAAGTATTTTTCATCAGATATAATTTTAAGTCATTCTTAGAGGGGTTTTTTGCACTGAATTCAGACCTGTGTTTATTTTTGCTCTGTCACGTATAGTTTTTGTGATGAGGCTAATCGAATAATTAATTCATTTACGCACTGATGTCAATAGAATCCAATGGATATCAGTGTGTAAATGTATTAATTATTTGATTAGCCTAATTGCAAAAACTACACATGATAGAGAAAAATAAATACAGATCTGAATTTAGCACAAAAATATCCAAAAGAATGACCTAAATTATATCTGATGAAAAATACTTGTTGGTTTGTATTACATGAATATGATTTCAAATGTGCAGATTTTACAGTAGTCCACTGTAATATACCATTGATCATATTTTAAAAAGTTGACATGATGGGAAAACGTGATGGACATATTTAAAATCAGCATTAAAATTGATTTAAACTGTGCTACTCTCATTTCTGATGATTACAAAAAGTTTGATTTTGTTGGCTTGTGTTATTTTACATGAAGGATAATCCAATTGTTAGTTTCAGGTATAACAGACCCTTAAATTAAATGAAGCAGACATAATTGCTGCATTATCAATTTCCCATTTATTCAGTGGGTCTACCTTATTAGGAAATAAAAAATGGATATCAACTAATATGGATTGTTTCCCCCTTTCTGGCTGAACTGTAATCCTTCATATCTACTAATTCATTCCCAATCCACTTTATTGCTTTCTAGTCTTCTTGGATTTTGTTTAAGTTAACTTTGCTCCACTTCCACTCTTCTTTAGCTTTTTCTTGTCATAGGGAATACAAGAGCAAATAGTTTTTGGGAAGGGAATCTTCAACCAGATGAGAAATTGCCTATGGATGCATCAACAGACAAGAGGCTAACTTTTATCAGCCAAAAATATAAAGAGGGAAAATTCAGAAAAACCACTCTACTTTATAAAACCAAAGAAGAATTAAATAAGGTAAAGTAGGGAGAAGTAGGTAGGAATTTCTTCTTTATATTTCTCATTGTTGGTTGTTAAGGAAAAACATACACATTTGTGATTTAAGAGTAAATAAAATCCAGACATCCAATGTTGAGGTTTAGCAGGCTGCATCTTTTATAGAAATTGTAAAAGTAGCTAATATAACAAATGCAGAAAGGCGCAAATAATCAAGATTAATGAGATACCCAATCAGGTTGGTAAGATGCAATTCAATGGAATCAGTTATCAGACACTTGTTACACTCATGATAGAGACTCCCCAACTGATTGAATTTCAGTCCTGGGTGGTTGTACTATAATTCCTTATATAAAAAAATAGATTATGAGCTAGTTCAGTTGTGTGAATGCTCTGCTTTTCCAACATTTGTATTTCCTCCCAAAAGTTTTGTTAAGGGGAGAGAAAAAAACAGCGAGTAACTATAGCAGAGGAGTAAGTGGAGGAAATAATAATTGATGGTATGACTTACGTAGCCTTAAAGTTGATTATAAATGAATTCATATTTTAAAAGCCTGGCAGGTTAGTCTGATAGCTTATGTACTGTTGTTTGCTGTACATTTATCTAACATCTTGGCTCAGATTTGTCAGTTACCTAACATGGTGTTACACTATGATTTGTTGTGGTCTCCATTATAACACTGGTGTTCCCTAAAATCCTATAACCAGCTCTAAATGAGGTCTGGATGTCATTAGATTACAGTCCTTATTAGCCCTCACCAGCATAGCAAGAGAAGAGGAATGGTGGGATTGTGGAGGAACATGTTTTCCACATCTGACCTAAAGTCAGTTACTAGTCTCAACTACAGCAGAACCTTTAACTCAGTGGTTCCCAACTTTCGGTCTTCCAGGTGTTTTGGACTTCAACTTCCAGAAATCCCAGCTATCTTACCAGCTATTAGGAATTGTGGGATCTGAAGTCCAAAACACCTGGAAGACCAAAGGTTGGGAACCACTGTTTTAACTCAACAGAAATGTGTGTGAGCTTTTTGTAAGCTTTTATAACTTTTGTAAGTTTTATTCATATAGTCAGACTACTTTGGGACTAACGGATCTAGAGTACTGTGTTATCTGAGTTTGTGTATGAATTTCAGCTTAATCCCATGATTTACCAAAACAGTTGCCTCTGAAATAAAGAGATATTAATCCTTTCCTATTTGATGTTCTACTTGTAGCTCATGCTTTTCATCTTTATGATCAGGCCCTGTGTGCTGCAGTGGTTAAGCAGGATGTATTGGAAACAATGGAATTGTTGTTTAGTGGAGCAGATGTGATGTGTGCTACCAGAGATCCTGACTACAGTACTCCGTACTTGTTAGCAAAGAAATATGGACAAAGACTGCAAATGGAATTTCTCCATCATAACAAATTTTCAGGTATGGTAATAGAGGAATCCTTTTGATTATATAACTACAGCATAATTTGACAACAAGTAAGCCGCATTTTTTATACTTTGGAGACCACCAGCACTTTACATCATATCAAGAAATATGCTAATAACCAGCACAACCATTCTCCAGTTGCATTGGCTTTAGTTCAAACATCTTTTATACTAATCCAATCTAGGTATCAATAAAGTAAGCCAATGTTTATGTGTGCTTTTTATTTCTGTTGTAGATTTTCCAAGCTATGATGCTCAGTCAGACAGCATTTCCTGTCAAGATTCTTCCTCATCCACCTTCCTTTGTGACTATTTATACAAGCTTCCCTCCAGTGCTACAAAACCATTTACAGAGAGAAAACTAAAAGAAGGTATGTTGGTCTTTACTCCTGCCCTTTGCTTTATAGAGTATTGCATAGGTCGCTGCCCTTTACTGTTTTGTTTTAGAAATGCAACGGTAATATGAGTGGGGACATATGTGTGTGAAATATTGTGAAGAGCAAGGCAGAGAGAAAGAAACTTTCAGTCAAATAAGATATTCCCTAGTTACAAGTTCATATGGAAAAATGGAAAAAACCCCCTATGATTTATTAATGAGTGCTGTGGTACCAAAGTATGATGCTTCTTTTAAAATATTGTTTATCCTAATTAATTTAGTGTGCACATTATTTTACCCATTGTGTTCAAGCTGTCAAGTAAAGTAATGTTCAAAAGAAGATTAGATCAATAAAAAGGCCTTCTAAAAATGGCTGAAATCCTGACAAATGATTTTTAAAGTCAGTGGGGATTATATTCAAACTGGCTTTCTTGCAGGGAGTGTGTAGATGAAGTAAGGTGACCTTAAAAATAAGGGTGCACTTTTAGCTCCTTGGAAGAAAAACAGACATTGGGTCCATATTTCTGAACACTGTATTCCTAATTCATTTCATTTTCTTGTCTGGCTGGTTCCAAAAAAGGAAAATGAGATTGTACAGATACTTTTTCTGGAAGAACAACTGTTATTGTTGACAGAGAGTTGAAAATTAACAGTAATGTTCAGATGGACAGTGAAAACCTATTTCTGTGTCATATCCAGGATTTAAACTATATAATAACATAATAGTAATGGTGGCGCAGTGGGTTAAAGCACTGAGCTGCTGAGCTTGTTGATCGAAAGGTCGCAGGTTTGATTCTGGGGAGCGGCGTGAGCTTCCACTGTCAGCCCTAGCTTCTGCCAACCTAGCAGTTCGAAAACATGCAAATGTGAGTAGATCAATAGGTACCGCTCTGGCGGGAAGGTAACGGCGCTCCATGCAGTCATGTCGGCCACATGACCTTGGAGGTGTCTACGGACAACGCTGGCTCTTCGGCTTAGAAATGGAGATGAGCACCACACCCCAGAGTCAGACATGACTGGACTTAATGTCAGGGGACTACCTTTACCTTTACCTAATACTTTATTTATATTCTGCTTCATTTCCCCGAGGGGACTCAGAACAGATTACAACATACACAGATAGGCAAAGATTCAGTGACTTTAATACAGTGAAATAACAATGACACAAATACACAGAACAAAGATAAAGGCTTCCCCTTTTGTCTTTGGCTTCTGGAAGTGGTGCTCAACTCCAGCCATGGAGTGGTGCTTTTTCCCATTTTCCAAGCTGAGGAGCCTGTTGTCTGTAGACACCTCCTGGCCGCATTGCTGCCAACATGCCTGCATGGGCATCTTTATTACTTTCCCACTGAAGTGGTACCTATTGATCTACTCACATTTGCATGTTTTTGAATGACTAGGTTGGCAGGAACTAGGGCTAACAGCAGGAGCTTACCCCAACCTGCAGCTTTGACCTGCCAACCTTTAGGTCAGCAGATTCAACAGTTTCAGCAGATTCAAACCATTGCACCACCTGCGGTTCCAACTATAGCACTACTAAATTTGAATTCTCAAGGGACACTTGATGGCTGTGGAACTACACTCCTTATACCACATGGCAAATCTCATTGTTTGAAATGGAAGAGAGTGGTTATAACAGTACAAAAGGAAACAATGCTTTTTGTGATGTAAAAATTCACTTTGACATAGGTCTTGATCTCCAAGTTGATTTACTTGAGCCATTGACATTTCAGATCAGATCAATGCTATGGAAAGAGCAGCCAGGATCCACAGGTGCCATTACACTAATGGAGCTGTTTATGTTAATGGAGGATTGAGGGGAATTATTTCCCTTGCTCCCTGAAGCCTTCTTGTGTCTGCAAAATCATCTCTTTTTTGGGAAGGGAGAGAAGGAAGTCCTACTGTCCTAGCTGGCATCCGTTGAGCACAGGATTTAATTTAGAGCTCTATATATGCCACAGGACCCCTGGTGGTGCAGCAGGTCAAATCACTGAGTTGCTGAACTTGCTGACCGAAAGGTTGGTGGTTTGAATCCTGGGAGCAGGATGAGCTCCCACTGTTAGGCCCAGCTTCTGCCAACCTAGCAGTTCGAAAACATGGAAATGTGAGTAGATCAATAGGTACCGCCTTGGCAGGAAGGTAACGACACTCCATTTAGTCATGCTGGCGTTGACCTAGGAGGTGTCTGCAGACAGTGCTGACACTTTGGCATAGAAATGAAGATGATCACCACCCCACAGAGTTAGACATGACTAGTCTTAATATCAAGGGAAACCTTTACCTTTACCTGTATGCCATAGGTTATCAGTATGAGATCAGTAAATTGGAATGTAGTGTATTTGGTTTGAATGATGGATTTCCAAGTGTGAAAGAGAAAAGAAAGAAATGATGATTTTCAAGAGGAGGATAGGTGCTGTGCTCTGGGGAGAAAAATAGGACAATCTATAGATCCCTGTTTCTGCTCCCTGCTCTTCATTCTAGAATGACAGGTGTGATAAGAATGATGCATAAATATTTTAGACAACCAAGTAGTTGTTCAAGAAGAGAATGATATTTGTCAGTTTGAAAATACAACCTCATTTCTTACATGTTTACATTTCTTACAAGTCTGTTATTCATACACCTTCAGGGGAAGCCTGATCTATTCATGTTTTTCCAACAAAAAAATTCTCTTCAAAGCCAGAGATTGTTTTCTTTAGTCTTCCAATACTTGAGAGGGCTTTCTAGTATTGCTCCTACCAGCATAATAGATTGACTCTGCCTTGGCCTCTATTTCCAGTATTTGTGGGCAACAAAACAGCAGCACCTTTTAGCTACTTCAAACTATGATTCTAGTGTTCATTTTGCAATCAGCTTCTGTCAGGCAGCATTTTTCCCTTGCAGCTTTCAATTCTTCTAAGTTCAGAGGGTTTTTGTTTTTCTGCTTCCTTGTGTGTTTTCCCCATTTTTTGTTTGTATCTTTATGCTTTGAGTGAACTTGAAATTGCCAAATACAATATCATGTTCTGAGAAGCTTGTTTTTTTAAAAAAAAAAAAAATGCACAGCAACAACCCAAAGGCTTTACAGTGGTGCAAGGCAACTATCGAAGAGAATGTAGTTCCCTTTATTTCTTTTTGGGTATTTTGCCAGCAAATATGGATCTACTTCTGCTCCATCTCTATCAGAAAGTGGGTGTCTTGAATAGCTTTTGTGAGATTCTTTGTGTCAGCTGGTGAACCAGTAGTCATGGGAGGCATTCATCTTGATTTGGGAAGCCACATCCTTTCTAGAGCAATAATCTAACACAAATTCCACCTCACATGAGCTCTTAAAATCATAATGTATAATTACTTGAGTGAATGTTTAGACATCACACACTTCCTGTGCTGCTAACATAATTTTAAAAAGAACATTTGAGTGAACAAGAATATTTGCTGATTATTTTGTATGCAAACCACTGCTCAATCACTAACTCTATTGAAGATATAATACAATCAGGCTTCTATATCCGTGGTTTCTGCATCCACACGTTCAACAGCCTGAAAATAATCCCCAAAGCCTTGATTTTGACATTTGTATAGTGGCCATCATTTTAACGATGCCATTGCAAATATTAGCATGGAATTCATTGTTCATGGTGTTGGTGTGTGCCCTGACACCAAATCCCAGTAGATATTAAAAACCTGAATAAAACTACCAGTTCACTGCAGTGTACTTCTTTAAAAATAAGGCCCAATGAAGGGGACTTTGCATATGGATTTTAGAAAATAATAGAGATGTTGTAATCAGATACAGTTTGTGGATCTCTGTGTGTAAGTGGGCATCACATCAGTGTTATATTTAACAAGTCAAAATTTAGTACATTAAAACATTATAAAACATTATTATCACTATAAAACCAGGAGCCCCTGGTGACGCAGTGGGTTAAACCCCTGTGCCGGCAGGACAGGTCGCAGGTTCGAATCCGGGGAGAGCATGGATGAGCTCCCTCTATCAGCTCCAGCTCCTCATGTGGGGACATGAGAGACGCCTCCCACAAGGATGAGAAAACATCAAAACATCTGGGCGTCCCCTGGGCAACATCCTTGCAGATGGCCAATTCTCTCACACCAGAAGTGACTTGCAGTTTCTCAGGTCGCTCCTGACATGACAAATAGATAAATAAATAACTATAAAACCACACAATCTATAATCACAATCCAGGTCATTCTGGTAGTCATTGCACATAATTCCAGTTAATCTATTTCACTATGATTCTTCTCTGAAGGTTGATCCTAGAGCCATGTTTTCACTCTTTTTTCTGAAGGTCAGGAGGGAGGGGGCTTATCTAACATCGCTGGGAAGGAAGTTCCACAGCCGAGGGACCACCCCTGAGAAGGCCCTGTCTCTCATTCCCACCAGTCGCACCTGTGAAGGAGGTGGTACCGAGAGCAGGGCCTCCCCAGACGATCGTAATCTCTGAGATGGTTCATAGGGGACATTCTGTTCAGACAGGTACATATCAGAAGCATATGTATTGAGGATGATGATGCTAGGTGTGGGATATTGTGGAGAATTTAAAATGATAGTCCAACTACCAACACAGCTGGCACACTTTAACTGCCAATAAAAGAAAACTCAGTTTCAGAAAGATACTGGATGTCTCCTACCCCTGGAGAGACTAAATGTAATCCTCTCCTCAAAGTTTGAGAGGCTATTTGGGTACAGCTGTGCCTTGAACTGTCAGTGGCAGATAACAATTTTGAATGTTCTCCACAACAGAAATTAATTTGTTTGCAAGTAGAAAATCAATAGTGTCACCACTAGCCCACTTCCTGGTGTCCTTTTTTACTAATTGCTGGAAGCATATTTCATATGAAGCACATTTTCTTTCAACTACAATCTCTTTCGTGGTGAAGGGAAATGGGAGATTGAAGTTTTGCATGACTCTTCATTCTGCTGATTTGTGTGTTTCAGTTTACTTAGATAATTGTTTATGGATCTTGTTTTCTGGACTACAAAATAATGCCTCTTTTTATTCTATGAATTTAAATTCAGAATGCAATAAAAAGTGGTGTACTTTCGAAAGTGGCTTTTTGAGCTACTATGAAAATGAGAAGACAACTTCTCCAAATGGGATGCTTGACATCAGTGAAGTCATCTGCCTTGTTCATAAGACTGGCTCTTTCTTACCTATGGGGTAAGTTCTCACTCTTCCTAAAATTAAATAATTTCAAATCATCATTTTGTAGAGATTCAGTCAGATTGGATTGACTATTGTTTGTTGGCATAGAGCAGAGGTGGGAATCATTTGGCCCTCTAGATTTTTTGGACTGTAGTCTTGCCATCCCTTGTCACTGACTATATTGGCTAGTGCTGATGGGATGCATCTTTTGAGATCTATGATAAAACTCTAAAAGATCTTTAAGCATGTCTGCATCATTGTGGAGAATATAACCAGCAATGAACCCCACTTGAATCTCCCTTTCTGCTCCCTGTTGCTGTATGGCCATGCCAAGGAAAGGTCGAGGGGGTTGCCATTGGTGGCCAGTTGATGAAAAAATGGGGATACTCTCCTGAGGTAACCATCAACATCAACCCCCCAGTGGCACAGTGGGTTAAACCCTTGTGCCAGCAGGTCTGAAGACCGACAGTCACAAGTTTGAATCTGGGTAGAGCACGGATGAGCTCCCTCTGTCAGCTCCAGCTCCCCATGTGGGGACATGAGAGAAGCCTCCCAAAAGGATGGTAAAACATCAGAAACATTCATTCAGGCATCCCCTGGACAACGTCTTTGCAGACGGCCAATTCTGTCACACCAGAAGCAACTTGCAGTTTTTCAAGTTGCTCCTGACACGAACAAAAAAAAAACCCATCAACACTTGACTCTCCATTACCCATACAAAATCTTATAGTTAATCTAGTAATCCTCCCTCCATCTCTTACTTCCTTCCCTTTTACTCTCTTTTTCTTATACTTTGCCTTCAGCCCCACCTTCCTGGCTTATTTTACACTCAGATGACTAATTAATTCCATGTTGTTTTAAATTAATAGAACCTAAACAATATATTTTGCTTTGCATAACTCGTATAGCTTGCTTTTTTTTCCTAAGACCAGTCCCAGTGGGGATCAAATATAAGGAATTGAAGGGGAGAATAGCGCTATTTGTTGTTTTGCCTTTGTACAGCTTATTCCAAATAAAATTGACTCTTTTTGTCCTTGTCGTTAGAAGTCTATTTACCTTTGAAATCTACTTACTGCCAGAACGTGTGTTTCTCTTTGGCACTGAAACTGCACATACTCAAAGAAAATGGACTCAGGCAATTGCCAAGGTAATGTTGATAATTACTGGTTCAAGTTAAGCCAACAGCCTTTGCATTAAATATAAAATGTCACACTTATCTTAGACTGTTTGGTGTAGCCAGTTTGGATTCAAGTTTGGATCTTTAAAATGTGAAACAATGTTTTTGTTTCCTAGTGGAAAGTGTATGTTGTTACAAATGCTTCTGCAGGGAGTCATGCAAAGCAATGAACATCAAGCATTTTTAAAGAGGGGATTTTATATTCTTGAATGTAAGAAAATAATTTATATTCAAAAGCACTGGTAGAACACATTACGAAAACAGTTGCTAGTAGAACACACTATAGAAGCAGAAGACACTTTAGGCTTCTGTTTAAAGTTCTACTGTTATTATTTATGTGAGATGCAACAGGTTAAACTGTTGAGCTGCTGAACTTTCTGAACGAAAGGTTGGCGGTTCGAATTCTGGGAGCAGGGTGAGCTCCTGCTGTTAGCCCCAGCTTCTGCTAACCTAGTAGTTTGAAAACATACAAATGTGAGTAGATCAGTAGGTATCACTTCTGCGGGAAGGTAACGGTGCTCCATGCAGTCATACTGGCCAAATGACCTTGGAGGTGTCTATAGACAATCCTGGTTCTTTGGCTTAGAAATGGAGATGAGCAACACCTCCCAGAGTCTAGCACAACTAGACTTAATGTTATGGGAAAGCTTTACCTATAATTGTCCACAAAGAAGTTAGGCAAGCATGTGTTGTTGTTCTGCTGCCCCTTGCTTTTCCCCTCTTCCCCTATCTTACAATGATGAATATTATGATTTTAACAGTGATGATATTGGTTCACTGTTTTAAATGTTCTGATGTATTTTATAATCTTATTTTAAACGTTTATCGTAATTTTACATTATTTTAATGGCGTTGACTAGCTGCCTATGGTGTAAAGCTGCCTTGAGCCCTTCCTGTGTTGAGATAGGTGGGGTAAAAATGGTGTGCACAAATAAATAAATAAATCTTCTTCTATTTAAGCTTGAAGAGAGGAGTATTGTATAATATTTTTAAGTGATTACTAAGCAGCTTAATAAGGGCCTCATCACACTGAGGTCCTCATGTGATGAGGTGATAAGTCACTTTTGCTTAGTACAGGAATGAGCAATTGGGGCCTTTCAGATTTTGTTGGATTGACACTGCCATCAGCACAACTACCATAGCCTGTGGTAGAGGGTAAAACACCGCCGTGAGTCGCCCTAAGGGGCTGAGAACGGCGGTCAACAAATGCAATAAATAAATAAATAAATAAATAAATAATTCAAATTATCATCCAGCACATATGAAGTTTCACAGTGTGTCCAATATTATCTTTCATCCACTTAAATTAGCTCTTAAAACTCCTTTTGAAAGTTGGGTCACCACTGACCCAACCTGGAATATGACATGGAAAAGTGTTTTGGTGAGGAGGAGTAGTAGTGATGGCATTTGAATAATTAACAAGTAAAAAGATTTGTTTTTTCACAGTTGGATAAAACTGAGTATTACAACTAACCCAGGCTATATTTCATATTAGCACTGTTATTCAACAGTGTTATTTTTTACATTACTTGAATCTGTTTTCTGATTTGATTTCCAAACTGGTTTCTTTGAGATAACATTGGTATCCCTGGTGGGCAGCATACAATAGGAACTAAAAAGAATGCATCTCTGTTGATGCTGCTGGGCATATCAATACTCTATTCTTTTGAGCTACCTGGCTCAGATGATCCAAGGAGCTACTATTTTGTGATAGACCAAGTTCTTTGTCGGTCCTGAAATATGTATGCTGGAGGACTACTGTTTAGCTAGCATACGGTGCAACATAGACTTCCCTCTTGTCACATATGTTTTTTTTTTACATTTGCTGAATAAGAACATCCAGATATTTGCCCAGTTATTGACAATATTTACTGAATGTTATTTGATCTTCTAGTTGTTTTAAATGTCCTTTATTAATTCTGTGGTGGTGAACAATCAAGAGCATCCGGTAGTATTAAAGAATGGCAATATATAAATATATACAATAAATAAATAACACAATTTTGTGGAATTAAAGGTATGAAGTTTGCTTAGCAAAACTGAAAATAGTCACATAGTACTAACTTTTACAATATTTGTTTTAAATATTAATTTTGAGTATACATGTTTTTCTTGTTTTTGTTTGGAACAGCATTTTGTACCCAGTGTAGCCAAACATATCTTGGAGAGGGATTATGACGTGATCGGCCAGCTGTATTACAAAGACTGCCATAATCTCGATAAATGGAAAAAAGGCTGGTTTGCTATAGAAAAGTCAAACCTTTGTTTTTGCCTGGAGCTAGAAAATTCACAAGAGGATTCAATGCATCTAAGGAGACTCCAGGAGTTAAGTAAGACTTTGAAAAGAATATTGTTAGGGCTATTTCACAGAAAAAAAGTGGACAACTTGTAGTCCAGTCCATGCTGATGGACTATGATTACTATAATTCCTTACTATTGCCTATCCTGGCAGAAGCAGATGGAAGCCATAGTCCAAACCATGTAGAGAGATTCAAGAGTGTTATGTCCTCCCCCAACCCAGCAACAGTTAGCAATCTGGCTGCAGCTTTTTGGACCATGTAAAGTTTCTGAAAACTCTTCAAAGGCAGCTCTACATAAAATTTATGGCCTGATGCATGACACTATTTTCTCCATCATTATCTTGAGATGACAGGAAACATTCACAGACCAATACAGGCACACATCTTCAAGTGGGATGGTGCTATTAAGCTCAATTGGACTTTATAAATGTGTACACACTTTTTATCTAAAATACTTTCATTGTTTCATTCATTATAAAGGAAGAGCTAGTGTTTCAACAATAGAATTATTTTTGCTACAATACATAATCTCAGTATTGCATATAAGAGAACCATTTAGAGATTCAACTGTGTACCCCCCCCCCCCTCCAAACAGGCTGTGTAAATTCTTCAATGGCTCAATTTCCATTTATTTCAATTCAATACATTTATTTTGTTCATCAAAGGCCGTAACAAAGAGCTTCAATTTAAATATAGAAAACAATAACCAATGTTATCAAAGTTGGATTGATGTGAGTTTTTTGGGCTGTACAGCCATGTCCCAGCAGCATTATCTCCTTACATTTCATCTGCATCTGTGGCTGTCATCTTCAGAACCTCTGAAAATGTCAGGAGATAATGCTGTTGGAACATGTCCATACAGCTCAAAAAACTCACATCAACCCAGTGATTCCAACCATGAAAGTCTTCGACAACACATTGTCAAAGTTATTTAAGGCCCATGCTGTTGTGTGATTGTATTGTCGAAGGCTTTCATGGCTGGAATCACTAGGTTCTTGTGGGTTTTTTCGGGCTATAGAGCCATGTTCTAGAGGCATTTCTCCTGACGTTTCGCCTGCATCTATGGCAAGCATCCTCAGAGGTTGTGAGGTCTGTTGGAAGTAGGAAAATGGGTTTATATATCTGTGGAATGGCTGGGGTGGGGCAAGGAGCTCTTCCCTGCTGCAGTTAGGTGTGAATGTTTAGCTGATCACCATTAGCATTTGAAGGCCTGCCTGAGTCTGGGAAAATCTGTTGCTGGGAGGTGTTAATCTGTGCCTGGTTGTTTCCTCTCTGTTGTTTAGCTGTTATAATTTTAGAGTTTTTTAATACTGGTAGCCAGATTTTGTTCATTTTCATGGTCTCTTCTTTCTGTTGAAATTGTCCACATGCTTGTGGATTTCAATGGCTTCTCTGTGTAGTCTGACATGGTGGTTGTTGGTGTGGTCCAGCATTTCTGTGTTCTCAAATAATATGCTGTGTCCAGGTTGGTTCATCAGGTGCTCTGCTATGGCTGACTTCTCTGGTTGAAGTAGTCTGCAGTGCCTTTCATGTTCCTTGATGCGTGTCTGGGCGCTGCGTTTGGTGGTCCCTATGTAGACTTGTCCACAGCTGCATGGTATCCGGTAGACTCCTGCAGAGGTGAGAGGATCCCTCTTGTCCTTTGCTGAACGTAGCATTTGTTGGATTTTCTTGGTGGGTTTGTAGATTGTTTGTATGTTGTGTTTCCTCATCAGCTTCCCTATGCGATCAGTGGTTCCCTTGATGTATGGCAGGAACACTTTTCCTCTGGATGGATCTTCATCTTTACTCTCGTGGCTTGTTCTTGGTCTTGCAGCTCTTCTGATGTCTGAGGTGGAGTATCCATTGGCCTGGAGAGCCCAGTTGAGGTGGTTCAGTTCATCTTGGAGGAGGTGGGGTTCGCAGATTCTTTTTGCACGGTCTGCCAAGGCTTTAATGGTGCTTCTTTTTTTACTTGGGTGATGGTTGGAGTTTTTATGTTGTGTGATTGTTGGTGAATTGAAAGGAAATGAGGTGCTGCTTTCCACACACTACCCCTCCTTTCTAACCTCTGTTCCACTCCAGAAGTCAGTCTGAGACCCTGTGTTTCTGATCAAATATACTTCCTTATAATAAGCAAGGGCCGTAGCCTTTCTTCATAACCCATTGGCCAAATTATTTCTGGTGACTACCGCCTGTAATAGGAAATATATCTACCTATCATTGTTATTGTCTTTTTTCATGGTAAACATTTTAGTACAATTCTTATCCAGAAACTAATTACTATTACAATTGATTTCCAGGTTCAGTTCGTGTTGTTGTGTTATGTAACTTTCAATAGCTTTAAAGTAATTTGCAAAAGTGGTGTGGCTGATTAAACTTCTTTGGGTCTCTTGTAAAAGAATGTTTTCTTCATTTTTCAGCAATCAGCAGTATAATGCAAAATGGAGAAAAAATAGACGTTCTTCTTCTGGTTGAGAAAGGAAGGTAAGGGAAGATTACGGATGACAATTTTGTTTTTCAATATACAAGAAAAGAACAGTAAGCTTGTTTCTATCCATCAAAGAGATATCGTTTGAATCTATTGTGTGTCTCAGAGAGATGTGTCTTTATTTTTGAAATCCTATAGTAGTACATTTGCCGGAGCATTGCCCCCCTCTTCTGTAATAGAGTGCTGATTTAAACCACATGAAGTGTACATTATTACAAAAATTTCCAGGTTTATGTTCACAGCAAATGAAACACTTCTCATCTCCGCTGTAACCCATTCCTCCTGAATTCCAGAATTTGACTAGGTGGGAGCTTATTCTCCATGCTCATGTGGAAAATAGCCTGGGGTATGATCAGTGATCTGGGTCCTGTCATACAATATATCATGCAAACAGCTCTGGTGTTCCCACAGTAGTCCTGGACTTATCATGGCAACATTATGTGGCATGTGCCTGGCTTATTCATCTCATTGGTACTAGGTGAGTGTGAAACAGCACAGAATCCATTCTGTTTTCATTTTGAATTTTAGATGCTCCCTCTTCTGTTTCCTTCCCAAAATGAAAATCAAACTCAGGTTCCAAAATATGAATCTGAATGACCCCCTCCCCCCATCTCTTAGAATCTTCCCAAAAACAGAACCGGGGGGCAGGGGGCACGGACCTGAAATTCAAAATAAAAACAGAATGAATTAGCACACCCCTGCTTGGTACATCAATTGGGAAAAGGATTTTGGATTTGGTGAGGTGCATGTGATTGCACTGCTATATGAGTTCAATTTGTGGTGGGCAAATTTTCTTGGGCTGGATGCTAATGGATGCCCTCCATAAATCACATTCTTTCCAATCACGCCAAAATAAATTGCTTTCCTACATTTCCCATTACCCTTTCTCTCTGTTTTGGATGGGAAACCAAGAGAAAAGAAGGTTATTTGGGAAAAGAGGAAAGGTTATGTAGGAAGGGATTTTTTTGCATGTTTGCATGGATTGGGCAATGTGGTGGTGAAACTTTTGCCTAAAAACACTTTTTAAAAAATGACATTTTGGAGATTGGTGGGAGCCTCAGGGTGTTTTCTCGGGGCAGCAATTTTCCAAAACCTGCTGTTTTTCATGTCTCATTTCAGTGATCTACTGTTGGGAGAATGGGACCAATGGAGTGGCATTCATTTCTTTTCTCCCTTCCCATATTAGTAATGTTTATGTGGTGCACACGTAATTCAGACTGTAATTTACCTTGATCTCAAGAAAGCCTGGGCAAATTTTGTTCCTCCAAGTGTTTTGGACTTCAACTCCTACCAGCTATTAGGAATTGTGGCAATTGAAGTCCAAAATACCTGGAGAGCCAAAGTTTGCCCAGGCCTGATCTAAAGTCTTTTCATACAATTTAAAATTGTAGTGATAATTACTGCAAACTAATTTTCTCTTGCTGACATGAGTGCTCTAGTGTGTGTGTATATATAGAGAGAGAGAGAGAGAGAAAGAGAGGAAAGGAGGGAGGGAGGGTGGGAGGGAGGGAAAAATGGAATCCTTCAATAAAGGAGGGCAATTGGCTGTTTCCTCCAACCTGATATCAGTAGTGATCATTCCTTCCTGAAAGGGTGGAATTCTTCACATGCTTTTTGCACGCACACATACACAAACACACATATATACATATACATACAGCCATTTTGAAGTCCAAAAGGATTCCTGATCTCGGCAACTTGACTTCATAGAGCTCAATTTCTTTCATTTCCACTTGCAATATTGCAGTATCATTGGTATGTCGGTCAGGTCTCCACCTAAAGACTTTGTAATCTAAATTCTGACAACAAACAAGAGGCAAGGAAATGACAGTGTGGGGGGAGGTAGACTTTCTGTTCACTGTGGCTGGTGATCAGCCTGTTTGTTTGTTTGAAACAGCTGTATAAATGCGATGGAGCACAAAGAAAGAAAACGCTTAGTAAACATTGACTGGAAATACAATTGAACCAAATAAATATCCAGAAATATATATCTGGGTTGTTTGTTTGTTTATTACACAAGTTGACTTCTACTAAGGTATAGTTTCTTCCAATTGGCACTCTTCTAATATTCTGAGTCCCGTGGAGTGATGCAACATTGGAAAGATTGTTTACCATCATTCAGTTCCAAACTCCTACCCCAAAATGGATTTTCTAACACTTCACTGGTCAGGAAGAATAATTCAGGCATGAGAATTTTTCACAATTCTATCCAGTAGTATTGGGGGAAAAAAAATCTGATATAGGGATAATGGATCCCACTTTAGGAAAAAGGTGGAGTATAAAATGAATTGATAAATTAATATTTATTTTTCAAAGTTGTTTTGTTCGGAAATACACATGAATTTGTATGTGTGTTATGCACAAACATTTTTGTAGTTAACATATATCTTTCTAGATTTATATAGAGTAGTTTTCCAAGACATGTTGGGGTGTTTTGATACTGGGCAAACATCGCCTAGAAATAATCACTTTCTCAAATGACAGAAGGAATATTACAGAAATTGTTAGTTTTTGCATGCAAGGATGAAAGAATTTTGAAAAATCTAAATTTCTCACTTCCGGCTTTCATTCTCAGAATAATTTCATTAAGTAAATTAGGATTAAATGACTGCCTGGAGGTCACCTAGTCAGCTTTATCTCTGGGCAGTGGCTTGCTTATAGCTACCTCTGTATGGCTAGTTCCACATTTTAGTTACACAAAAATCAATAAAACCTAGAGATCAGCTCCTTAAAACATTAATTGTATGAGAAATTTATGGCTTTTGCACTGGCAGACTTTCTCATGTCAGAAGGTTACCTACTTCTTTATCCTTGATTTTTCATAGCAATTCAAATGCTAATACAAATGGTCAGCATGCTTCCATTTTGGAAGATATGCTATTTTATCTATATCTATCTATCTATCTATCTAGTCTATGTATACCTAATAAAAATTGAAAATATAATAAAAGTGAAAATATGTATGTGTGTATGTGGCTGGGCTGCCCACTTCCACAGACAGTCTCCTCCTTCCTCAGACAGCCATCAAAAGCCCTCCCTCCAATGACATTATGGGTTATAGAGCCATGAACATGTGGCCCAACTGCCAATGTCCTCCCCAAACACCATACTGCCCACGCAAACAATTATGGATCTGCACCAAATTGGGCATACATACCCAATATGCCAAAATTTTAATACTGGTGGGTTTGAGGTAGAACTGGCCTTGACATTTCTGGTACTGGGATTTGTAATTCACCTGCAATCAAAGAGCACTCTGAACCTCACTGATGATGGACCGGACTTAACTTGGCACACAGAACCCCCATGATCAACTGAACATACTCGAGGGATTTGATGGGACTGACCAACCATTGTGGGAGTTGTAATTCATCCCACATCCAGAAAACATATTGAACACCATGGATCATGCATCTATTTATTATTTATTTATTTATTTACTTTGCTTATATACCGCTGTATCTCAAGCCCGAAGGCGACTCACAGCGGTTCACAAACAGTAAAAACAGTAGAAACAGCAGTGGTTCCATACAACATATAACAATTGACTTAACACATTATCCATAAATTACCAATAAGCAATTACAATGCACAATTATTACAAAAAACAACCGTACCCAATCTTCTCATCATCCAAGCGTAGTCCAGGTTCGTCGTCCATTGTTCCATTCCTATGTTCCATTACCAGATTGTACTAAATTACTCAAACGCCTGCACAAACATCCAGGTCTTCACCTTTTTGCGGAATACCATTAGAGATGGTGCTAGTCTAATGTCCGTAGGAAGGACGTTCCACAGCCGAGGAGCCACCACCGAGAAGGCCCTATCTCTCGTCCCCACCAGCCGAGCTTGAGAAGCAGGCGGGATCGAGAGCAGGGTCTCCCCGGAAGATCTCAAAGTCCTGGTGGGTTCATAGGCAGAGATGCGGTCAGATAGGTAGCTTGGGCCGGAACCGTTTAGGGCTTTAAAGGCCAACGCCAGCACTTTGAATTCAGCCCGGTAGCAGATCGGTAGCCAGTGGAGTTGGCGCAACAGGGGGGTTGTATGCTCCCTGCGCTCCGCTCCTGTTAAAATCATGGCTGCCGAGCGTTGGACTAGTTGGAGCTTCCGAGCTGTCTTCAAAGGCAACCCCACGTAGAGAGCGTTGCAGTAGTCTAAACGGGATGTAACCAGAGCGTGGACTATCGTGGCCAAGTCAGACTTGCTCAACATAATAAACTTTTAAGTATTGATGGAGTTTCAGGGAGTTAACTTGGCATGATGTGAGCTGTAGTACACCCACAACCTTATGCATTTTGTAAAATAAAAAATGACTTCTTCTAATAACCTACACAACATCGGGTCCCAAGCTAGTTATACATAGAATTCTAATATCCATAAAATGAAACTTTGATATAAATGGCAAATGCTTTGAGTTAAACAACTTGTTATGGGTACCAAAACTATATAGAGCTCATTTTTTCTACATGAAATTCTACTATTACCTTTCAGAGTTATCATCATTTGAGTGGCATAATTTGGGCAGAGGGTGGTATAATTTGCTCATTCCACTATTAAACCATTGGCCAGAAATCTTATGGTACATCCAAATCTACCTCTATGGAGTGGGGTGGAGAAGGGCATAAATGAAGATCACTTTGAAAAATAAGCATTATCTTCATTACAAAAGATGTTCCTGTCCCCCCCCCCCTTTATAACATCCTTTTAATTTTGTTAACATTTAAATATTCTCCTGCCATTCGTCTCATTATTTTCACTAATGTTTTCTCCTCTTACCATCTTATTGCTGCTTTGTAAATATTTTCCCCTTGGAAATACTTTTCCAGAACATTATACATCCATGGCCACACCAAGTTGGATTTCACAGTCTGGTATAGTGCAATTGAAAAAGCAGCAGGTACAGATGGCAACGTGTTAGAAGATCAGCAACTCAGCAAAAATGACGTCCCGATTATAGTGAATAGCTGTATTGCATTTGTTACCCAATATGGTAAGTGGAGCAGAGCATTTGTTCAAGTTCCTGAAAATTGGAGATGCACCCAGAGTACTTACAAAGCATCTGTATCCGATAACATTATATGAGCTTGAGCTGTGACTTGTAAAAGATCACAGTTTGTAGGAATTTTTTCCTGTTACATTAGGCTGTTCATGTGGCAGTATACGTGTGTGTATGTGAGAGAGAGATGGAGAGGGAGAGAGAGAATGAAAATGAAAGCCATTTCATTATGAGAAAAACACTGTTGGGAAATAAAAATTAAAGCTCTTGGAAACAAAAGTGGCTAATTTATACAGCATTTTGCTTTATCTGTGTTGAGTTCCTTCTCAGTGAAATCCTCTGTATTAAATGCAAAATGAATATCTAATGCCAGGGTTTTTGTTTGTTTGTTTGTTTACTTTAAAACTCAAAAAGAAAAAGAAAAAAATAGTCATCAATTTTCTGAAGACAATAAACTATAATGTTCTGTGGTTCAGAGATTGTCCAAAGGACCTCCAATTTTTTATAATTAGATTATAGAAGAATTTCAAGTTTTATTTTTGAGAAGTAATTTTTCACTTTTGAAGATTGCGTGAGAATAAATTCTCTGACTGACTCTCAGCTTCATAGCTGGGTCATTTTGATATATTCTTAGCTATATCTTACCATCCTCTTAATGACATATCACCCATTCATGAATAAGAAGCGCCTTTGCAGTTGAGGGAATGCCTACACTGTAGCAGCCAAGTTGATATACAAAAAGTTATCTGTATGTTTTTAAAAAGTAGAAAGCATTCTTTGACAAAGCTGAAGTGTATAGCTTTATGTACATTAAAGCAACCTTCTCCAACCTCACACTGAAGATGTGACTCCACCACTCTCAGCTACCATATGAAGCATGTTGGAAGTTGTGATCGGGAGCATTTTGAAGATACTAGATTGTGAAAAACTGCACTAAAGAATGCTTCTTTTTGTTGTCTATAATTTTGTCCGTGAAAACATATTAAATGCTATAGAGCATCTGGATGTGTTTGCATTGATTGCCCCTGAGCAAAAAAAAAATGGTGGCTGTGTTGCTTTACATCTTTTATTTCTGGTTTAAAATATTTTTGTTAATTACCATGTTTGATTATTTACAAGTATAATTTCAATTAGTTTTTAAGTAATTTGTATTCTTCTACTTAAGGTCTAGGTAACAAACATATCTATCTGGATAGAGGGGATCCATCTCATGTAAATGAACTTCTTGAGTCCTTCAAAAAAGATGCCAGAAGTGTTAAGCTGAGGGCTGGAACAAACCAGCTGGAAGATGTTACTGATACTCTGAAGTGTTTTCTGTCTGAAATCGATGATGCACTTCTTACCAAAGAACTCTATCCATTTTGGATCTCTGCATTAGGTAATGTAAGGCCAAACTACTGTGTGAAGCTCTGGAAGCAGTGCTTGTGTGATTGTGTTCTTGTTGCTGTTTTGAGTCTTCTAAACATTTGTAACTTAGAGTTACACTAAGGGGAAGCTGTCGTGAGTTTTCTTGGCAGAATTTGTTCTGAAGGGATTTGCCCTTGCTTTTCTCTGTGTTTGAGAGAGAATGATTTCCCCAAGGTCACCCAGAAGTTTCCATGGCTAAGCAGGGATTCGGATCCTGATCTCCCAGTATCTCCCAGTATCCTCAAGTAACTAGGAACATGTTATTACTAGGTATAAAACAAACAAGTTCCTTAAAATAAGTGTCAGGTTGTGCAGATGGTGATCCATAGTTTATACTCTGATTCTGAACTCCCACTGCATTGTTTTATTCCCATATAAATAAATAGCAGTCATTCACTTCAATGAGTTGCCGAGTTTTCTGAACCTCTCTGAGGTTCTGAATGAATGTCCTGTTTCCACATCAGAACTGGAACTTGCCCTAATCTTTAGAGAAGCTCAGAAACCAGAGGCCTATCACATCTTCACAGCCATTTCTGGAATCAAAACAAGTTCAATGATTTCGGTAATAAACCCATGTTTGAAGTCAACATATTTCTAGTGGCTCTGTACTCTGAAGTGGTGCCTTCACCAGATTAAATGTGGTCACCACAGAGATAAGATTGTGGGATAGTACAGTGAAACAAAATACATGGGAAGAATGGGATGTGGGGCAAAAAAAGAAGAAAGAAACAAAGCGAAGAAAACATGCAGCTCATGGAGGATAGTAGCTTCTTAAAATTAAGAGACAACTTATTATTTTTGTTAATGCACTCATTTAAGAGAACTGTATTAAAAAATCAATATTTTGACCTTTTAGTTACCCACTAATAGGAATGAGAACCCCAGTTTTCCATTCCACCTATGTACCTGTCTTCACCATTTATGTTTTAACCATCTTTGCTTGTTAAGTGTATCCGTGAATGAACAGATGACTTTGGCTAGTTATCTGTAGACTTGTTCCATGCAGTACTTGGATACAGATACTGTAAGATATCTTTTGACCCAAGATCTGTTGCTCTCCATGCTTTTAATGCACTGCATAACAATCTGTATTGAAAGGGAATTATCCATATTATCCCTCTGAAGTAGAGGCTGATTGGGTGCATAGTCATTTGAAATGACTAGCTACTGCTGAGATGGCAGATCAATATCCTTCTTTTTTTGGACTGCATTATAGTTAATGCTGGATAGTTTAATTCCCCCTCCTTCTTCTCCACTAGATACACTAGATGAGAAAGAGAGAGTGAAAAAGTACAGCACTTTTATTCGAACACTTCCAGCAGTCAATAGGGCAACTTTGGCAGCCTTAATGGAACACCTTTACAGGTCAGTATGTCAATAAATTTACTACAAGAAGGAATGATCAGGGAGTGCTCTACCAGTGTCTCACTACGCTGTCAACATGTCTGTGGGCATAGATGAATATAATTATGGTTGCACAAATCAAATACATTGCCCTTAGACAGCACCTTCTTGCTTTCAAATTGTTTTTGAAACAAATATCTCAAGTTAAAGTGTTGCTTATCCTGTCTTTCAAGATGTACGTAAATCCTTCCAAGGTTGCTTTCAAGTAATGTGAAAGCACACACATTAAAATATCAATAAGTAATTTCAAAATTTTGCAACTTGTTAAAATCATCTCCATAGAAGAGTCGGCAGCAGATGGCCTTGTGAGAAGGATGGCAAAACCTTTCTCATCATCATTACTGTTGCCATCCTCACCCTTTCGTTACTAATTTCTAGTGGCATACCTAAGGCCATCTGATGAGCAAGATGCCACTGGGTTTTTAACCTCTTAGGTCACAAAATCATATGTTCAGGCGCAGGATCCAAAGCTGATTTAGCGATCCTGTGCCTCACATGGCCATGCACTTTTCTCATGACATCTTTTGGTGTTGGTGGTTTGCTATCTATCATTTGGGATTTCCACCATATATTAATTGGTTTAAATGCCTTTTAAAATGTGTTCATGAAGCTAAAACCGATTAGGAATACTTCATTCAGACTTGTTTCACCAATAAAAATTCTATTATCTAGTCCCAGCAGCCCAGCTTCTCTATCTTATTTGGACTGAGTCTCAGTTTGTGACTGTCTTTTGCCTCATTACACCTCTGTAACCTTTTCTGATTTAGAAAAGCAAAAGCAAAAAGAGTATCACTTGCATATGGTTTGCAACTCATCCCAAATCTCCTTATAATTCAGTTCAGTAATTGAAGCTGAACCCCATTGGACCCCACAGTATAAATGCCAAGGAGATGGGCAGTATTGTCCTAACACTACCTTCTGGAGGAGCCCCTGATGGCGCAGTGGGTTAAAGCCCTGTGCCGGCGGGACTGAAGTCCGACAGGTCGCAGGTTCGAATCCGGGAAGAGGCGGATGAGCTCCCTCTATCAGCTCCAGCTCCTCATGCGGGGACATGAGAGAAGCTTCCCACAAGGATGATAAAACATCAAATCATCCGGGCGTCCCCTGGCAACGTCCTTGCAGACGGCCAATTCTCTCACAACAGGAGCGATTGCTCCTGACACGACAAAAAAAAAAAAACAACCTTCTGGAATGGTTCCTCATAAAATGGTTTCACCCACTTACAAGGATGTCAGGATCCATAGGATCAAATGCTACTGATATATCCAAATGAATCAACATAGTGGCTCCTTTCTTGTTTCTCTTCCACTTTCAGTGCAGTCCTACACACTTCCTACACTTCTACTCCTCTGTAGTTTGAGTAACTTGCCCAGTTCCACCCAGTAGGTTCTATGGCTTAGTGGGGATTTGAACCCTGGTCTTCACAGTTGAAGTTTTCTGCTCAAACCATTATATAATGCTGGAGCTCCTTGTACTAATTCTTCAGTACAATTAAATCTATTTGCCAGATACTTTAATGGGTCAAATTGTTTTTCTGCATTTTTATGGCTTCTCCAGAGCATCTGACTTACTGCTACTTGAAACAATCATGGGTGATATGCCGGCCTTAACCTTTGTACTTAGATTAGTGGTTCTCAACCTGTGGGTCCCCAGGTGTTTTGGCCTACAACTCCCAGAAATCCCATCCTGTTTACCAGCTGTTAGGATTTCTGGGAGTTGAAAGCCAAAATATCAGGGGACCCACAGGTTGAGAACCACTGGTTTAGATCCAAAATGGTACTAGCACAGAAAGATCCCACTGAGAGAGCTGCTCTGGATTTAATTGTTATTTGAGAAGCAGCACATGATACAACCTACACATATATATACCACACTGTGGAGCTAGATGCTATTCAAATGGAAAATTCCAGTTCTAATATTATAACTTCAATTTTATCAGTGCAACTTATTTTACCACATGAAGCCAATGGAGTTTAGACTTGGTGTGACTCAGCAGAAGTGGTTCATATGCTGGGAGAGCATGCCAAAATACTTTATTAGGGATAAACATAAGAATTTGTTCATGTAAAAGCAAAGAGCCTCATCAGTTTGTGAGCTAGGATACATCATTTTATTTTAATGGAAGTCTTCTAATGAGATGAGCTTTCCTGTTGACAATGCATGCTACAGCATAGGAGTTTGCATTTCTACAGACTGATGATGGCTGTAGTATTCTAAATGGATATATTAACTTTGAACAGGGTACAGAAGTGTTCTGAAATCAATCACATGGATCCTCACAATCTAGCAATGGCATTTTCATCATGCTTGTTTCAAACTAAAGGGCAAACCAGTGAAGAAGTCGATGTAATTGAAGACCTGATTATAAATTATGTGCATCTCTTTGATGTAAGTACCCAGCATATTTATCAGATTTGTCCAGTAATACAATTTCAAAAAGGGTTGAAACCGCAAATGTGATCTCATGGAATATTTTCTCTTTGTTCAGTGGAGGTTGTGATTTGGCACTCTTGTTTTGCAGTCTTAAAGGATTGTGGTTCCGCATTTCACATTAAAAGTTAGACACTGGAAATGCTAAAGTTGTACTTTCAATTTGCTTTAAGCATTTCCAGCTCTTTAAAAACTCCCATGGTGTTCAACTGAAAGCCTAAGTTAGCAGTATTCAGAGGGTTTTTTAAAACCTGATTTTTGCTTTTTCTTTTATCAGTTGGCATTCTACTACAGAGATACACATGCATAAGTCACACTGCACAATTTATGCACAATAGCATAATATATATATTCTACTGACAGTAGCAGAATTTGAATGGGCATAGAGCAACATTGTGCATTGTGTTTATGCACTGCCCACTGACTGTGTTTACAGATTATGACTGTGCGCTGCAGTTGCACTCAGAAATTGACATATGCCGTGCAATGCTACTTTTCTCCATGGGGTTACACCATACTGGTGCAGGATAGCTCTGCATGCAATTATTTACACTAGTCTGAGGGCATGTTGGATTGCAACCTATATCTCTCAGTATAAACAAACTTAAATTTGCATAAGAATAAAATAATGTTCACTGCCAACAAGAAGTTTCCAAACTGTAGAGATGTTCAATGTATTGTCGAAGGCTTTCATGGCCAGAATCACTGGGTTGTTGTAGGTTTTTTCAGGCTATATGGCCATGGTCTAGAGGCATTCTCTCCTGACGTTTCGCCTGCATCTATGGCAAGCATCCTCAGAGGTAGTGAGGTCTGTTGGAACTAGGAAAATGGGTTTATATATCTTTGGAAAAACCAGGGTGGGACAAAGAACTCTTGTCTGCTAGAGATAGGTGTGAATGTTTCAACTGACCACCTTGATTAGCATTGCCAGAGAAGCCATTGAAATACACAAGCATGTGGACAATTTCAACAGAAAGGAGGAAACCATGAAAATGAACAAAATCTGGCTACCAGTATTAAAAAAAACTCTAAAATTACAACAGCACAACAACAGAGAGGAAACAAACAAGGACATCTAATCACCTCTCAAAAGTTTGCTCCAGGCACTGTCAAGCCATTATATGCCAATCAATGTGATCAGTTGAAACATTCATACCAAGCTCTAGCAGACAAGAGTCCTTTGTCCCACCCTGGTCATTCCACAGATATATAAACCCTTTTTCCTAGTTCCAACAGACCTCACTACCTCTGAGGATGCTTACCATAAATGCAGGTGAAACGTCAGGAGAGATTGCCTCTAGACCATGGCCATATAGCCCGAAAAAACCTACAACAACCCAGCTTCATCAGTAACAGTAGGGAGAACAATGGAGGGGACGTATCTGTTTACAGTTGAGGTTCTATTTGGTTGCAAATCAAGAGATGAGGTTTAAGGCTTAGTTTCTGAAACTCTGTTAATTACTATATACTTGTAATAGCCCTCCGATGAGCTTCCACATTTATGTGACTACAGCTCACATCATCCCTCACCTGTGGCAAAGGTTTGTGAGAACTGTAGTCCAACAACACATGGAGGGCACCGAAATCATTATCCATGTTGCTCTCAAGTTTATTTTCCAAAATAGCATATGTATGTGCATGTAATAGAAAAGTATCAGTTTCCATCATAAATATATTATAGTGAACAACACTAGCATCAGCTTGTTTATTTTATTTTAAAAAATATAATCACATTTCATTATGATATAACTCTCAGGTTGTCTCACTGTAAAATTTGCAGCGAACAACTATTATTACTGATAAAATTTGTTAATTCCCTTTCTTCCTACCTAGCATTCAAATTGACATACGACTCATACAAACCATAAAACAACAATAAAAACATCAACAGCAGCAATAAAACTGTATAAAACCCATAACAGTTGAAATACCTGCACATCGAGTTTAAATGCCTGGGAGAATAATCAAATTTCATTCTGAACCTTAATTTTATCAGTAAGATAACCTAGCACACTGTATTAATGGTCAAGCATAAACATTAAAATGCAAGATCATAGTAAAATATCATCAGTAAAAATCAAATGCATAACAGCAAGGTTCATAGAGTGTACTAAGAATTTGCTACCATGGATTTTCAGTTCCCATTTGTTTTAATGGGATATTTTCAAATGAATTCCCCAGTGTACATGTATCAAATGCAAGGCCTGCCATGTCATTTTATGTGGCCCACGAGGCTTTCAATGTCAGGACAACACCATTAGATTTTTACAGTTTTACAATTAAAACCAGCACTTTGAAGGCAACCATAAGGCGCTTGGTGAGAATGAGTTTATCACCCCAGTCCTAATGGGTATTTCTCAAATTGGTAAGAGGAGTAACAAAAGTGAATTCTCAGTTTTAAGAGGAAGAAGTTGTTTTGCTGTCTGAATGTAACTGTCTTTTCTCCCAGAAAGGTTATGATTATCATACATGTTAGTAGCTCCTTATACCTGTGCATGTGGGGTGGTCTTCTCCAACTGCCTTCATAGAGACCAAATATCCCTTCCCTGACCTACTATAAAGTCACTACAGCTTCATCATGGCTATTCTGTGTCTGCTAGAGAGCAGTGAGTGGATGGGAGAAATGTCTAGCTATATCAACATAACCAATTGCAAAATGATCACATTATCTGCTGAGACTTCTGGAGTGTCTCAGCTAACCTCAGTGGATGATCGAATTACTTTGCCTTTAGCTATGAGGATATAACCATTGACTTCTGCAGTTGCCATGAGGCACAGAATGACTGTGGGTAAGGAGCTGCAACAACTCTATGAGAGGTCAAGGAGTGATTGAATTGCTAGTGATAATACAGTTTCACTTGCAGAACTACTCTATATGTTGGATCTTGCAATATTTAACTATGGAGTGTGGAATGACAATCATAGGAGTTTGGCTTACACTTTTCTTTGTCAGAGAAGGTATATAATAATTTAAAAAATAATTTTTATTTATATCCCGCCACCATCTCCCGCAACGGGGACTTGGGGCAGCTTACATGAGGCCAGGCTCAAACAGCAAATTACAGCAAAATAAAAACAAAAACACAAGCAACAAACAACATCATAATTAAATAAAACATATGAATACATTAATAATATGAGATTACAATAAGTCACAGTGACAATGGGTGGGCCACATGTGCAGAATAAAATGATTAAAAAACTGATTTAAAAACTCGGGTGAGATAAAAGGAGGAGCAGGTTCGGAGGGGAGCTCATTAAAACGGGGATTGTGGAACCAAGCTTTTCCACGAGGCGCGGGGGATGGGACGTGTACTTTAATGCCAAAAACGTTGGGGCTCATTGGATGCCCTTACATATTGGCCTTCCTTGTTTTGACTAGTCAGTGAAGTGATAACCAAGCATTTAGGTTTTGTTGTGATTTGTGCCATATTAGCATAGCTAGATTATTATGAAAATAATCAAAACTTGTACTACTCTATGTTCATTTGATGGGGCTGACACTTCATGCTAGCCTATTATATGGTATTATATGGTTTCCTTTTCTGCTGAAAAGCTAAAGGTTGCATTTCAGCTGGATCAACATACTCGTGTTAAAGTTGTGTGAATCATCACTTAAAAAGTAAGCATTGCTAAGTTTCATGAGCTGTATTCTGATATTATTATGCATAGAAATGCAACTGTTCCCCATAACCAATAATGTGTGGGGTGTGTGACTTTTTTTGTTTACTTTGGATGTCTGTTTTATAGCAGAATTTGTAACCATGGGTTTGGCTTTTTGGCCACACTTAGTGGTAGAACACAGGCTTTCTGTGCTTAAGGTCTGAGGTGCAGTGTTCCTTGCATCTACATTTTTGGGTAGGGAAGAATCCTGCCTGAACTGCTATTCAGTATTAGTGGCACTATTCTACTTGGAAAAATCATTAAAAGGGTTGTGGATCTTTCAGTATACATTTTAAATAACAGACATATATGTCTATCTATGGCCTCCTTTAGGATGATGGTTATGGATTTTCTTTTTCTTTTAACTATCAGAGTTTGGGGAAGGTTTGTGTGTGTGTGTGTGTGTTTTAATTTTGATATTTACTTTCAGAATCCCCACACCAGCATGGGTGGGATAACAATTGCAAACTTTTCTGACCCCTCTGTATGATTTTCAGATTGGAAAAAAAATCAAGAAGCATTTGCAGATGGAACTAAGTTAGACCATCCCTGCAATTTCTTTATATGTAAGAAGAATTCAAGATTTGAACTCTTCTTCTGTATGACAAAGTGATGGAATAGATTATGTGACCTCAGGTTCTTCCTCCAAGTGTATAGTTCACTGGAATTAAAACAGAAAGGCACCAAGCAAGGGAGAGCAGATCTAAATGTCCAAAATCATTTTCTGAACTAGTTTGCAGACTAAGTATTACAATTGTTTATGCCTAAGACATCCCTGGAGAAATGTTCCTTTCACATTTGGGTTCCTTTCCCATTTCCATATTTTTCCAAGACGTGTAGACCAATTATCATATCCATTTGTAGAAAAAAGTTGTGGATGTCCATCTTTGTAACATTATTGTAAAATTATTTCTTTATGAACAGGTACATGAAGATCAAGTGAAACAAATGGATATTGAGAATAGCTTTATTACCAAATGGAAAGATACTCAAGTGAGTAATGATGATTCCTTTCTTTTTTTAAAAGTAAGTAGATGTGCGGGGGGGGGGGGGGTGCAGTGGGAAGATAGAGTCCATTCCAGCTGCATTTTCCATTTTCACTGGAGGATTTACTGCATTGTATACAACTTCAGGGCTTGAGTCCTGAGTGTTACGGTTTGAGGCTGTGATTTAATGTGAGCCAAGGCTTTAGCACACAAGTGAACCTGGATATGCAAGACCAACTTCTTCCTAGAAATGCAGAGACATCTGGTCTTGGAAAACTTTATCCCCTTGCCTGGCCACCAGAAGGAGTAGCTTCTGTTTACATCCGTCGGTTTTGGAAATTAGGATTTAGAGAGCACAATTTTCAGAATCTAGGGATTTAAGGTTTTATTTCTGATTCTGTCTTTTCTTGTGACTGCTCTGCCACCTTTCCCTCTTAGCATTTTCATCATCAGTCAAAACACAGCTCAATATACATAATAAGTGCTGTGTAGTCTGCTAGATTATAAAGATTCAATCCAACCTATTCACCTAGTAAGTTAGAAAATATTTGGAGTACCATGCAGTGTCTTCCCAAATATTCAGAATTGTGATGCAAATTCGTTGCTTCATTCTATTAAAAGGTAAACGTTAAGGTTTCCCCTTAACTCTGGGTGGTAGTTCTCATCTCAATTTCTAAGCTGAAGAGCCAGTGTTGTCCATAGACACCTCTCAGGTCATGTTGCCGGCATGACTGAATGGAGCACCGTTACCTTCCTGCCGGAGGGTACCTATCAATCTACATACATTTGCATGCTTTTACTAGGTTGGCAGGAGCTGGGGTTAACAGTGGGAGCTTACCCCGCTTCCCGGATTCGAACTGCCAACCTTTTGGTTAGCAAGTTCAGCAGCTCAGCGGTTTAATCCATTGTGCCACCAGTTACAGATTTCTAAAATCTGACACAGATATCTAAAATCTGTGTGTTCATTATGAGGAATTAAGGAGATCCCTACTCTCTTACGAATTAAAAGAAGTATTCTATTTTTTGTCAAAAGCTTTTTAAAATGGGAAGGTGTCATTCTGCATGAAAGGAAAAGAGATGCCATTCATATTAAAGGAGATTATCACTTTTTTCTTTGTTTGCTCAAAGCCTGAAAGTTTGTCAGTGGAGAAGGATCCTTTAAGCATAAGATGAAATGTTTTCTAGTATGTATTGCAGATATGACTATACATCACTGCAAAGTTTGCTATTTCTAACAAGCCTAAAAAAGAAGGAACGGTTTTCAGTGCTTAAGGCCCCTATGAACATCTTTTTTTAAAAAAAGATGGAAACCACTAGGTGGAGCTATATTTCCAGAGGTTTTCTACAAGCAAAAGAGTTCATATGCTGCTTATGGCCTGTTTGTTGCATGAAACAATCTTCTCTCTGTTAACCTTTCAGAAGTCACAAAGTATATAAATGTCATTGTACATTATATGGAACACCTCTTTTCACATAGCAGTGAGAGGCAGTTGGCAATTCAGAAATTAAGCAAAGGTTTTGGACAGACAGGGGCTGCAAAAGTATCTTTTGAATTATTAAAAATAGAAAGCTGATTGGAAAATAAACTCACTTCACTCTAACTTCTTTTACAACTCAAAAGAAAAATGTTACGCTTCTCATGTCACTTAGCATGACCTTGTTTTCCTTTCCAGTTGGCACTTTATTAACCATTCTTCATTTTTCCTTGCCTACTAAACACATTGCCAGCTGTTTTTGTTTGCTGCTGTAATTTACTTCACTTTTCTCCCTCTCTCCAATGTGCAGTTGTTTACATACGCCCAGTGGAAATCAAATGTCAGCTTCATTCTTTTTCCAACCTTTTTTTCCAGCAATATCATCTAAAAAGCAAATTTTACTTGGAAATAGCTTTTTTCTGAGTTGTTGCCAGTATAATTAAGATCCTTTCTTCAAAGTCACTTTGTAATGTTTTTCCCTTTCACAAACGATTTCATTAGTTTCAATTCTCAGAGGCCACTGTGACCTTAAAGTCCTAATTTCTCCATTATGTAGCTTTTTAAAAACATCGTGGCGCTGTGTGTTTCTGGATACAGGAAAAAATACATTTCTACAGAAACTTACTTGAAATGCTTGCCAAATCTCCTTTGTTCTTTATCATTCCAAGCTATATTACTGATAAATATTCTAGAAGTATACTGCTGTAGATCTGTTTCTTTTTTAAAAAATCTCCTAAACATGGTAACTGTGAAATAGTATTCATATTCATCATTCTGCTACATATGGGATTTGTTATTCTGGCTTGCCTTCAAAAATCATTGCACCTGCTGATTTGGACAGGCTTCAGAATAATTAACACCCCCCCCCCCCAATATTCTTTTACTAAAGTGGTTTGATTTACTCACTTGCGGATCATTCAACCTTTCCTAAAGGATGAGACTTTGGCCCTCATGAATGCACAATTGATGTCAACACAAAGGAGCAATATTATCTCTCATTAACTTACATTAATAACACTGGCCAACACACATTTTGGTGCCTCAAATATTAGACCTGGTTTGGGGTATATTTCACCTGCTGACTCCAAAAACAGCACAGGTTTTCCTCTATTTATTATTTGCAGCATTTATACTCCACCCTTCTCATTCTGAAGGGGACACATTCGGCAAACATTCCATGCCAATTGTGCAATTATCAATTATACGAAACATAAATGACACACAACACAAACAGGGATAAAGGCAGTTTTTCCCATCTTATTTCTGGCATCTTGGAGGCTGTGCTCAACTCCAGCCACTGGGGAGAGTGTGTGTATATGCTATCACTCCATATTTCATGCCGTGGATCTTTCTTCTGGTTGATGTCCTTAAGGGTACCTTTATTATCTCCCCACTAAAAGTGATACCTATTTTATCTACTCACATTTCTGCTTTCGGCCTGCTAAGGGGGCAGGTGAGCTGAGGTTAATGGTGGGTGCTCATCCCAACCCGGGCTTGAACTGCTGACCTTCCAATCTGCAGGATTTTTCTGCAGCACAGCAGTTTAGCCTGTTGTGTTAAGCCCTGTCCCTATCAGTATTAGTTTTTGAGTGATCATCTCACCCATTTAAAATCATGATATCCATATCTAAGAAATTAGAGCTGATGTGGTCTATCCAATGCAGTTTTCTGAATCACTGCCCCCAAATAACCCCAGGAACAGGCCTAAAAACCAAGATACCAAGAATTGTTTTTGTTGGGTTGTGTAATGTGACATAGTTATATTTTAGTTAGTAGGAAAAAAGAATAAATTGTCAGTATTTGAGCTCTGTCCAAACTTCACATTCCTTCCCAAGAGCTCTAGACAGCAAACTATCACTTGCCTATAGACAGCCTCCAAATATCAGACAGCTACAAATTTCAGACACCTACAGTGGGACAAATAACATGGGTGGGAGGCAAAAAACGAAATTTTGTCAGAAACTGAAATGCCAAATCTGCCCCCACATCTACTTGGGCAACAATATCACACAACATAATAACATTACACTTTCTTGTACATGAGAATGCCACAAAACCAGTTGTAGAACACTTCAAATTGCTGTTACATTTTCGAACAGCAATGCTTGAGCACAGAAATTTCAAAAAATAGAGTACTTAAGTCTACTTTATTGCAATATTTTTCTGGTTTTGTGCCCATATTAATGCACTAGACCAAGAACTTCCTCTACTGTTCATATATTCAATAGCTTGGCTTGGCTTGCATGTAAAATACCTTCTAAGCAAAATATTCCCATCTTTCTCCCTTTAACTTATATTTATGAACATAATTCAGAGTTAACTTTACACCCCATCAGGATCATCCCTGGATGTTTTTCATTTATATTATATTTCACACCTCCACACATGTTGGTATATATGTCTGTCCATAGAGGGTTAACTCCATGCATCAGAAGAAGTGTACTGGAGTCTACAGAAGCTTATACTAGAAATTTATTTTTTCAGTCTCAAAGGTGCTTTAGCTTGATTTGTTTTTATGCTGAAATAAATGATCATGGCTGTTTTTGGAAATATGCTTCCTATTTCTTTCTGCTTCAACTTCAGTTGATAATATTAATCTATTCCTGTGCATGCATTTATCATTACGTATGGGAATTACACTCCCAGATGGACATATGAATGTTTATTGTATACAGTAAGATCACTATACCCACAGATCCCATATCCATGGTTTCCTTTATCCGCTGTAAAAAGTGGTCCAGAAAAAATATCATAATTAAATTTACGATTATTTATGCAGGACTTACTTTACAATATAGTATAGTATAAACTGAGTTAAGGCCCCTCAAACATCGGGTCTTTCTATATTCCCTATTTCTGTGTCAGAAGTTAATACCTGGTATCTTGGTGCCATTGCCACAAAACTCCTTCCAAAGCCTGGAGCTGCTGGATGTGTATTTATACAATAGTATCAGGATTCAGGGAACAGGTGGAGAAGAACAAAGAATTATAATCATTGTCACCAGTCTTCTCATGAATCCCAGGACTGCTGCATGCATAATTGCAGAACAATCTTTTGTTCTGCATACATAATTGCAGAACAAAAATTACCCCTAGACTTGTGCATTTTGGGTTAATCATATCTGCTTGCCAGATACCAGAAGCCCCCCATATCTGTTTTCCAGTGCCTCCCAAAAATGGGTACCCTGCCAAATGGGCATTTTTATTCAGCATCTGAAAAAGTCAGTTCTTTTTGGCCCATTGGTGGCAACGGGGAACTTAGGAGGCTCCCCTTTTCCCTGGAAGCTTTTCCTTTCTTCCCTTCAAGGGAGCCTGGGTGTCAGCAACAGGGTTAAGAAAGCACCCCATCTAGCCCATTATGGGGGTGGAACTTCTCACAGGCTCCCCTTTCATATCCTTGGTTAAGACCTGCATTTTTTAAAAAGCATCAGAGTTAACACTTAAGTTTCTAGATCCTTTCCCTTCTGTTTATAGAGGGGGAGATTGGGTTTACTGCTTCTTAAATCTGTTCTACTCTAGAGGAGAGGCAGGCACCACTTTCTTCTCTCCTACCAACAGCAGATTTCCAAGACATTTTAAAGAGGTGCAGGGAAGGAAGACCAATGACCTGGAGCTCAGTCGAGCTATGCTCCTTGGACTACCTTAAAAATCCCTCACTTGCCTGCAAGGCTGCTATCTCTTTTCTGCTTGGGGTTTTAATTCCTTAAAACTGTTTCTACTTTCTACTCAAGAGGAGGGGTAGGCTTCTCTTTTTGTTAGCTGGGATTACTATTATTAATAATATTTTAGAAGTATTTCCTGAAGGAGAGGAAGGGAAGGAGAAAAAAAGTTGCCAAGTAGGGGAGGAGGAGCCGAGCTTGGCTCCCGTTTGCTGTTGTGTCGATCAGGTTGTTGTACCGGGAGGGCCCTTACCATTATGGGCTCCTGAAATATCGAAGGTACCAAAAGAAACAGAGGAAACTAAATCCACGCACAACCCTAATCGCCACCTCCACCACTAACATCTTCCCAAAACCTGAGGCCGTTGTGTATGACTTTGGGATTGCACTGGCATTAGTACTGATTTTTTTTCTCCTTTCCACTCCCCAAAGCCGGAGGCTGTCCACATAGCACACTCAGGCTTCAGAGGGAGATGGCAGTGGCAATTCTTTGTGTTTCTTTCCCAAAGTCTTCAGATTGATGTGTAGACGCCAGGCTGTCATGCATTCACTCTTCCCCTTTCAGAAAACCTTCCAGCTACTCACTTCTCAATTCTGATGAACCTTCCTGAGAGTCTTGTCCTTGATACCCACCAAATTCATTTTTCTCTGACTTTAATGGAGACCCTGCACCCCTAACATCTCCTGTATGCATGCATGAGAACGCTTTAAATGTTTTTGCATTTTCTTTTACTTAAATTCTTAATGTCTTTTCAATTTTAGGACCTTCTCTGCAAGCTACCCCGACCCTTCACCTACTACTATTTGTCCCATTTAAAACAATAACATTCACTGTTAGCCACAATTTCACTTATAGAATCATAGAATCATAGAATCAAAGAGTTGGAAGAGACCTCATGGGCCATCCAGTCCAACCCCCTGCCAAGAAGCAGGAATATTGCATTCAAATCACCCCTGATAAATGGCCATCCAGCCTCTGCTTAAAAGCTTCCAAAGAAGGAGCCTCCACCACACTTACCAATGGTGACCCTGGGAAATGTATCCCTTGTGGACTCCAAGCTATTTTTTTCTCTCCAGTGGCTTATTTCTACTCCTTCTGTACTTTAGACATTCTCTTACAATGTAAAATATAAACAGTGTAAGTATCTTTATAGTTTCTAGGGTCTTTCACAATTTTAAATATGGCAGTTTCTGAAATGTAAATCAGTATCTCTTAACTAGAAGTTGTCATAGTGTGTTTGAGAAGTGACTTCTTGAAACATTAAAAACATGATAACAACCCCAAAGTGTATTTTGAGATAAAAGAAAATTGGTCTTACTTGACCTTGTCTGTGCTTTTTGTAGGGGACAAAATAGTGAAAAAATTTAGATTAATGACAGTTAATTAAATTCAGGAAAAACCAAAGTTCCAGTTAATAATGAGATCAAAGGTTATGAATTCCTTCATGCTGTTGTGCCAAATTGGCTCATTGCATCACAGAATCATGGTTTATCATGATGTCCAAATGCAGCCACTGATTGTTGTTTTCATCCTAACTGAATTAGAGAATCTGGTGTATTATTGATGTCAGCCATGCATTTCAGTATGAATAAAAGAAAGCAGTCTCTACTCCAGCCCAACCTGAATTCAGCCTAAGACTATTAAAATTTACTGTATCAATCAGAATTGATCTGGAAATCCCAAGAGTTTGAAACTGGGAAAGACAAAACAAAAAAGATACAAATTAACAAAACAGTGTGGCTATTACCATAGCCCAAATATTGGTAAAATTGATTTATTTTTGATAGCAAAAAATTGCAGTCAGTTTCTTGCGTGTGGCAAACCATGTTCCTCATGTGTAATAGGGGAGGGGGTAAAATTTGATTGCACAAAGATCATACGTATGAAAATCAGGACAAATAGAAGGGGCAGGCAAATGGGTCTCTTCCATGTTTGATTTTTTTGTCATTTATATTTTCCTCTAGGTTTCCCAGGCTGGAGACTTGCTAATTGAAGTTTACGTGGAAAGAAAGGAGCCAGACAGCAGCGTTATAATAAGGGTCTGGATGTAATTTTTCAAAATTGATTTTCCCCCTGCACACTTCATTTGTGTGGTGTATGTGTTTTTTAAACGTGTGTGGCCAAAATCCATTTGCTAGTACAAGCTCGCACTGAGAGCCATTGAATCAACTACTATAGGATTAGCCAGCACTTAGTTAAATCGTATTGCTTAAACAGGATGATTCTAGTTGGAACTAGTTATTGGCTTTAGAGTTGTTTGTGAAAATTAGGCTGGCATGGTCATGGTTCCTCCACCCCTATGTGTTACAGAAGATTGAAGTTTCTTTGTCTATCACTCATAATCTACTTGAATTTTCTAGATCTTGCCATATTGGTTTCCTATTCTGCGAAGATTGCAAACCCCAGTCCTATTCATTAGTCAGATCAACATCTTGAGTATTTTTCATCTTTGCCCTATCAAAACAATAACAGGCGAAGAATCTGCAATTTTATATTAAGATGTATTCTAGTAGCAAAAGTAGCACAGATAAATATGCTGTCTTCAGTGACACAACTTACATAGACCTTGATCAGTCTAGGTACATTTTTATAACAACCTAACACCTCCATTAGAATTACATAGTGTGTGTTATGCCCATTCTCCTAATGTGTCTGCTTAACCTTATATATGCACCAGCATTAAATTGGGAAATTAAGCTTGGAAGGAATGCCTTACCAAATATAAGTTACCAGTAGTTGCCTAGCAGCAGTAGCAGTTGAGGTAAACCAATTTACCAAGAACCACATCTGGTTTTTGGCTGCTCAAAAGGCTTCTGTTCCACGCCCTCAGCCTTTGTTTTACCAATTAGCTAACACTAACTCCATCTGGAGTTCAGTAGGAATTGTCACCATCCTACTGGCATTAGCCAATGAACCTCTGAGGCAGGTCAGTCTAGTCATGGTTATCTTCTCTTATGTACACTTGAGGAAATGTGTATTAAGTCAGTGACTTTACAATGTCAGGCTTGTTGTTATAGCAAATCAGTTATTTTGTTGTTATTCTGTGCCTTCAAGTCCCCTCCAACTTCATTTATTTCCATGCTGCTATCAACATTTATCCAATACTCATTTATTATATTATTAAGAGCTTAAATGAGGCAAACAGAAATCCAAAAAGCAGCTCAGTCTGTCGCAAGGCATAATTTATTGAGTTTTCAGTACTCATTTATGAATGTGAGTTCTAGGTTTTTTGTGTGTTTTTAAATTTTAAATTATCTTCATACAATTTATTTGAGTAATTATTAAAATTAATAGACCATGGCCCTTATTCAGCCATATGGATGTATAAATGTGGGTGTCTCTGTTGTTATGCTGTGTTGACTTTGACTTATGGCAACCCTAGTATAGGGTTTTCCTAGCAAGATATGTTCAGAGGAGATTACAGCTGACTTCCTATGAGAGATTGTGGCACGGTCAAGTGTTCTCTTGGCTGAGTAGGAACTTGAACCTATTGGTGTCTTACTGGGATTCTTAAACCATTCCACCATGCTTACTATCACATATGTCTAATTGCTAATCTAATTCTTGGAGGTGCATTTTTCAAGCTGAGCAGCATTATTGGTGATAACATCAATTGTTTGCAATAGTTAAGAAAAGAAGGAAGCATATGAGTGAATACAGTATCTTTTCCCCTTCCCTTCTCTAAGCCAGTGGTGAGAGCTATTGCTACAAAACTGAGTTTCATTCATTCATTCATTTTGTTCTGCTATCCAACAGTCACATTTTGCGGCTAAAAATACCCATAATATGCCTCTTAGTGAGGTGCCTGCACAGATTGAACTCCAATGAGATGCTGCTATTATGGAAGTTTTATCTATTAGAAATGTTTTCTTGATGTGGTAAACCATAGGGTATAAACCACATTGGGGTAGTTTACAACTTTTTCATATGACTTTAATCAAAAGCTGTGGATAATGATAGTTTGGGGACAATATCAATTTTGGAAGCGTAATTGCTTTACTCTTGCAAAGCACAGAAATTAACAATGACCAAGTGATTGCTGTATTTACCTAATGGTACAAGGTCCCTTAAATATTGTTTATCTTGTCATTTGTATTTAGAACCAACAAAACTTTGCTCTTGTAAAAAAGCCCAAATTGATTATTCCAGATGATTGAAATTTCCAGAGTTTGGAAAGCTCTGCAGAATTATTTAACTTTTCATATGCAAAAGATGGTAATGGTGTTGGTAAAAAGGGGAATTTAAGCACCTTCCTTAAGTCTGGAAGTTTTTTTTTGTGTGTATCAGGAGTGACTTGAGAAACTGCAAGTCGCTTCTGGTGTGAGAGAATTGGCCATGTGCAAGGACGTTTCCCAGAGTACGCCTGGGTATTTTGATGTTTTACCATCCTTATGTGAGGCTTCTCTCATGTCCCCACATGGGGAACTGGAGCTGCTCCGCGCTCTTCCCAGATTCGAACCTTTGACCTGTTGGTCTTCAGTCCTGCTGGCACAAGGGTTTAACCCATTGTGCCACCGGAGGCTCCTACTAAGTCTGGAAGTGATCAGTTTCATTATAATTTTAGATAGCACGTAATCTGCCAGCAAGACCTGCATAAAAGAGCAAGTCTGTTTCTTTCTGTGACATTGTTGTTCCTTCTGACTTTAGAAATATCAAACCTTTTGGAAGAGAAAACATGGGGCAAACTACTTTCAGTAACACCCCTCTCCGCTTTTCTAAAGGCATAAGAGCATTTTCCAATCTCCTCTTGCACAGTTAATGGTGCCATGGCAATGAATGTGATAAAATAACGAATGGATTCCCAGAGCTGGCATTTTTGCAATTGCTCTTACAAAAAAAGTTAGACAGTTTTTCTTCCTGTGATTGAGAGCATAAAACTCCAGCACAAATTAGAATCCCACTGCCTCTTTGAATGATTTTTGTACTCTTTGTGATCATCAAAACAGGTATCGCCAATGATGGAGGCAGAAGAATTGACTAATGACATACTGGGAATAAAAAATATTGCACCCCACAAGGATGATATGTGGGCTACGTTTGAAGTGATTGAAAATGGAGAGCTAGGTGAGTGAATTTTCTATGTGGGCTGGGAGAGGGAAGTCTTTCTATCTTTGTGCCGTCCTGTTCATCTGTGCTAGAGATGGCAAACTTTCTCTATAGAAGATTTTTCCTACACTTACTGTCAGCCCTATCTAGTAAAAAAAAATCATACTGTCACCCCAGTCTGATTTATTTAGAAGATTAAATCAGCTTTTGAAAAGACAGTACATGTACTCAATTAAAATTAAAAGTGAATCTAATTGGACTATCAAGGTCTGCATTTGCCACAGAGAGAACATTCTGAACCACATTTGACTGCAATGAGTATATATCATTTGGGACCAGATTTTTTCATCCCCTCAGTAGCACAGGTTTGGGAGGGTTCCCCCCCCCCCTCAAGATGGACTCTTCAATTCTTTTTGTAAGGAAGGAGCTAAAAGTGATCTCATTTATTTCAAGTCAATGGCCTTTATTTGCTATTCTAAAGCCAAACTAAACAAAATGCCAGGAACTGCAAGAATTGCTTCAATACAAAATTTATGGTTAGCATAGAATTCCCAGTTCAGATATGGATCCTAATAAATGCATCTTTAATTCTTTACCCCCTTCCCCCACCAAGTTCCTATTGATGCACATTTGTATAACCCCCAGCCAGCGGGATTGAGCCTGATAACAGATGAAAACTTCCCTATCCTTATGCCAACAATGTTGACCTAAACTTGGGATATGCTATGGCATCACTAATACTGCGAATTGTGTCTTCTCCAGTACAGTTCTAACATAACAGCTGTTTCTCATTTGCTGGTTGTGTGGTCAAACACTTTTGTCCTCAGCACATGTTGATATTTTCAAGAGACCAAGCTGGTGTGTTTGTTCTCTTTATATCCACAAGGAAAAACATCATTTAAGTTCATTTGTATATATTCCAGAGGAAATATGTAAGAAAAGAAAGGTGGATAACTGAAAGAGAAGGAATAGGACGAAAGCAAATTGATAAAGGGAAGAGAAAGCTTTGATAGAAAGACAGAGCATTCATTAATAGATCATCTTGGGCAAAAATTGGGAAAAATTACAAGATTTTCAACAAACAGGGTGGGAAGAATTCTGGACTGACTAAACTCTTCAGTTTGGGAGTATATTGACAATTTGCATATGACTCTTTTGTGCAGAAAATGTATTTTTTGGTGCAGAAAATAATGTTTCTGTTGAGAAATGTTATTTTCTGTGCAGAAACGTACACTGTGCAAAATTCGTACATGGTTGCTTTGCACAGAAAAACAGCTTTTATGTTCAAAAATAATGTGTCCCTCACAGAAAAAGTTGTTTTCTGTACAAAAACAAGCAGCTCTATTTCACAAAATAACTGTAATTAGTCTTCAAAAACTTGCAGTTTTAGTTACTTCCCCACAGCCGGAAGAAAACGACTAAAACTCCTCATTATTTCCTTCAAGAAAAATAAATATGAATGAATAATTGCATCCCTAAATTTTAAGAGACAGGTGATGGACAGAATTTTCAGCACACAAGATACACTGATGTTCATAAATGACAATTGAGTATTTTCCTGAACTACACCATATTTCTAGTGGAATTACTAGACTGCTTTTTTTCTCAAAGCAATCCCTGTATCATCATCACTAGCACATCATGAGGAAGGTTGTGGTAGAACACTTAGCTCTTACAAGTCACTTCCCTTTATGGTGGTAAGTGTGCGACCACAGGTACATGTACACATGAAACTACTTTTAATCCTTTCAACCCTCATTTAATTCTACATCAACACAGTTTTAGGAAGATGACCTTCTAGCAGACATTGAGCTCATTGTTTACTTTTCAGGGATCACAAGAAGCCCCCAGGTTACAATCAGGATCAAGTTCTGTAGGTTTATTCTTAAGGTGAATTTGTATGTAAGTCAGGAGAGGTACCTTTTTATATGTAAATCCACCTCTCTCCCTATCTATCTGTCTGTCTGTCTGTCTGTCTCTATCTTTGGATCACACAGAAATGGGTTAGCATGCCCATGGTGTTTGTTTTGCTGTTTGTGCCCCTGTTCACTTCACTTCACTTTCTGTCCCTGTGATAATTGGATTTTTAAAAATTTGACTTGTTGTGGAAACAAGGGTTGGTGATAAAGCTTCAGTTGGACACCTTTTTTCTAATATAACTCTTTCAGGAGTGAATTTCCCTTCCAAGGAGTAGTTTTCTCTCACTTCCTGTTGTCTCACCCCCATTCTTAACTCAAGTTAGATGTTTGTAACTTGGGACTCCCTGTATATAATATATTCACTTTTAAACAGCCAAACAAAAATCTTATTTCAGACTGGTTAAATATAATTTGTTTAACTGGCCGAAATCAAATTCTGAGAAGACAAGTATATTAAAATCTTACTTTTTCAAAAATGCAATTTTCTTCTTATATTTATTGCTGGATTGGAACAAATAGCTCTCTCACTGTTTGCTGGCAACACATAATGACCTTGGGAGCAGAATAATGGGATATGTAAGTTTGACAGCTAGATGTCTGAAATATTGGAACTGAAATATTAAAGATCAAGTAAATTATTTACATATGGAGCAGCAGAAATAATTGGTAAAATTATCTGGCCTTATACAGCGGGCTTGCCATAAAATAGGATCTGTAGTATATAATTTTTTGTTGTAATTTCTATATGATAGATAGTTTGCAAAAGAGGTGTGTTGCCAGTAAAATAACTAATGCATTTCAACGGGATGATTTATGCACCATATAATCCATTATGACAGATGGTCTTCAATGTGACTATAAATAAAGCAATAGGTGTTTGCTCTGGGAGCAGACACATTATTGCAAGATGTGGATGTTTTTCTGTCTTTTCTCCTGAAATGTCTACTTTAAGGTGGAATTCAAGCCAGGCCATTACATTTCTGTAAGATATAGCATTCATTAAACTTAACACATAGCCTTTGGAGGATAGCTAATTCAAGGGTCCAATGCAATCATCTTGGGGGTCTTTATTTATTGACAAGGAATTTTATTATTTACACACTGATGCATACTTAGATGGGAAAAAACTATCCCATTCTCCAAAGCTAACTTTAACCAACCAGTGTCTTTTGTATGCAATGGATTCAAATTCTCATCATCCCCAGATATTCTGTCTGAGAATAGCAGCTGTAATCCAGCATTTTGTGTTAAAATCTCATCTTTAGGTAATGTGCCTTTGGTGGTGGGCAGTTGTGGTAGTGACCTGCTCCAACCCTGCCACTTTTTAAAGCATATTCTTGTAGGAAAATAACCATATTATATCATATCCATGCACAAAAGTAATCATATTCCTGCATAAATTGTGCTTGGGGTATAATCCTGTTTCATATAGCCTAATCAGAGCATTCTGTTAATCCTGAAGAAATTGTGCTGCTCACTTTGGACCAGGTCCTTCTAGTTTTCAAAGGGTCACACTGAGTTTTAAAACACTGCATGACCAAAGTTGTAAATCATGTAGGGAACCTACATTTATGCAGCAGGCCTTCCTTAGCAGGTTTTCCTCTCTACCTGCATAGTAGTCGCACTTTATCCCATGGCCTCTCTCCATTACTGCAGCTCGCACTTATTTTATTCCTAATGTTTACACTCCCAGCCATGGTTACGGTAATTTACCACTATAGTTAGAAGATCACAGCATGATTGAATCTGAACTGATGTTTTTATATGTGCATGTGTTTTATTTTATTGTATTTTGTATTGTGTTCACTTTTATGTTTGTTTTTAGGCACTTTGTGCCATCTGTAAGCCGGCTCGAGTCCCTTCGGGGAGATGGTGGTGGGATATAAGAATAAAATAGTAGGAATAGTAGTAGTAGTCGTAATTGTTGTTATTGAGGCCCTAAACTAAACCTTGTCATAGAAATGTTGGAGACGATGGGCCCAGTGAGTAAGTATGGAACTAAATGTTCTTATTCTCAAGAACACAGAAAGATATGCCATATAAAATTGTACCCTAGGTGAACCATTTTTTCCTCAGACTAATTCATCTTGTGTTTTAAAAAAAAACAACACTGCATAATTTTTGCAAATAAATATTAAAAATGAAGGATACATTCAATTTTTGTTGTTCTTGACTGAATAAGTAAAGGTTGATACATTTGTCAGTGAACATGAATAGTGACTATCCTTCTCATGAGACTATTGTCATGTGAAGGGTGTTACCATGTTCCATTGTTAACAGGGAAGTGCCTGCAGCTATGGAATCACTGTATTGCTTGAGAAAGACTCATCAACAAGAAGGAACAGCTAATTTTGAATTTTACTACTCTACATTTGTGTTAGCTGTTATTTAGATGGCTACATTTGATCAGAAAATGAAATTTGACTTCTGTAATAAAGCAAGAGCCACAGGGAAAAATGTGACTTCTCAAAAATAAAAATGTCTTAACTTGTTCATAAATACTACTTTTCCCCTGGGTTTTCCTTTCAGAACGCCCATTACATTATACTGAGAATGTTCTAGAACAAATTCTACATTGGAGCTCTTTGACTAATCCCAGCAGTGCATATCTTATTGTAAAGAAATTTCTGACAGCCGACACAATGAAACAATGCAATGGTATGTAATGAAATTGATTTTTTTTATTTTTACATAATTCAGTGCTCCAATTCATTACCACCTCACCTCTTTTTATTTATTAATGCTGTTTGAAGTTTCATTTTCAGAGTGACTCCAGTGGCATGAAAGATGTGTAGGATCAATGCAATGAAGTTGTGATTGCACCTTATGTTATCCTAGGGCAGATAAAATGGAGAAAGAAATTTCTTTAATGTCCTGAATGGCCCTTTATCTTAATGCAAATCAAATAAGTACAGCAAGGGATGTGTTTGAATCTTGAGAAGAACCAAGTACTATATGAATTATGGAAATGATCCTTCACCACAATTATAATATTGATTCATATCTTGATTGCATGAAGAAACAGAAAATGTCATAGTGCTGGGTCAGATGATGAAGTGGGGCTCTTTCACACTGCCCAGTTATAGTTCTTTGATTCCACTTTAAATGCCATGGAAAACATCCAGTATAGTCCAAGGATTTTATTTTTATTTTTATGTAGAGAGGAATATTAAGAATTCTCAGCTGGACTACTTAAATTTCTCACCAAACTACAAATCCAGGATTCATCAGGATGTAGCAATGACAGATTAGGTGGAATCATTGTATTGAAACAGTGTAATGTAAAAGTGCCCCTCATTTGCTTGGAGAGCCGTTATTTTCTTCGTTCTGTATTTTAAAAAATCACAGGCCAATTTTTGCCAGGCATATTTACCATTAACATGTGAGAGTAGTTATTATTTTTTTGCAAATCCTATTGATGACATAATCCATTGCCAGACATCCAGAGATTGGGTATCCAATCTTTAATGTAGCTGTTTGAGGCTACACATCAAAGGCTGTTGTTGCTCAAGAAAGCTACATTGACCTATTCGTATTTGCTGTCTTTGTGGTTCAGAAACCCCTGTGGATATCAATATCTGTGGATGCTCATCCCATTATATATCACAATGTAGTAAAATGATGTTCCTTTCATAAAATGCCAAAATCAAGGTTTGCTTTTTGGAATATGATGATGATTAATATTTTTAAGCTATAGATCAGTAGTTCTCAACTTGTGGGTCCCCAAGTGTTTTGGCCTACAACTCCCAGAAACCCCCAGCCAGTTTACCAGCTGTTAGAGTTTCTGGGAGTTGAAGGCCAAAACATTTGGAGACCCACAAGGTTGAGAACCACTGCTATAGATGTTTGAATACATGGATGCAGAAACTGGGGATAGGGAGGCCTGACTTTAATTACAGTTGACTTACATGTGTATTAATCTAACATATGGACACAATCGAATGTTAAGACCATTTCAAACCTGTGATGATTATTTCAACATCGCTCAGCTTCAAAACAAGGAATAAAAAAGAACAGAGAAAAATAAGATAAGTGATTAACTTTCATTACAATTAAAATTGTCAACTTTTACTTAGGTTTGCCTGGCTTGCAAAGTGCCTCCTTTGTGAGACCTGAATATTCTCCTTTCCCTCGCTGTGTTGTAACACTGACAATCTTATAAATATACCTTGCGAACAGCTTTCAGGTTATGATACTCCATTGCCTCTATCTGAGCAAATACTTTCAAAATAAGTTACACTGGACTCTCTGATCCTAGCATTGTTTCATCTATTAGTGATGCACCTTAAAAGTGGGATCAAGAAGAGGACTCAAGATAGTGAAAGTAAACCATACATAATTTCACTGTCAGTTTGTTATAGAGAGAACTGGTATCATTTCTTAAGCTTTTAGTTGTGATTGACTACTGAAAGCAAGGGTGTTCTATTTGTGGGTGTAGTTGGATGCAGGTAGATAAAATAGCAGTGGTGCAACTACATGCTTCAGTTCATTTATGGAATTGATACTTCAGTTCATTTATGGAAAACAAGAAACAAGTGAACATAACTAGCCAAGAAAATTCAATAAACCATAGTTAAAGTTAAATAATGTTTGTCTGATTTTGGATGTAGGCCAGGATACCATTGAGTCACTAATGCAGTGGACTAGAGTATGAGCTGTTTAACTGTTTGAAGGTTTCAGGCAAAGATCAAAAACTTCTTTCTGAAGTGGAATAGTAGTAGTAATAACAATGAATGTTGGTGGATAACTTCAACAATAATAATAGTCATGGGAACTCCAGGCAACCAATATTTGTGTATGTCAGTGCTCCTGCCAGAGAAGGAGACAACCATTTGGTATGCATCCTCTTAACTATTCCCTCAATTCCAGGGTCTAAGGTAGTGGTACTCAACCTGTGGGTTCCCAGATGTTTTGGCCTTCAACTCCCAAAAATCCTAACAGCTTGTAAACTGGCTGGGATTTCTGGGAGTTGTTGGCCAAAATGCCTGGGAACCTACAGTTTGAGAACCGCTAGTCTGAGGGATCCTTGGAACCAAAGCAATGTAGAAAACATGGCTTGGAAATGGCAAGAATTTTTCCATAATGTATTTGCCTTAGTGTGTTGGATCCACTGATCCCTTGGAAGCTGGTGTTGGAAACTATATGATGGGTGGTGGGGATGTGACTAAATTAGTGGTAGTTTCCACTCCACTGGGATTATATAGGGTCTTGATCACAGTGACAAACTGTGGTAAACTGAAAACAGATACTGATATTATTGACCTCACAATTATTTCAGAGAAGAGAGAGTGCTTGAATGTAACGATCATGCACATAATGTTTAATTATGTTTGGTTGGCTAAATGAGGTAAATTATCTTGCTTAATGAAAATGATTTTAAATCCCTTTTAGTGGACCAGGCTTTAACTTATAATTTATTCAATAAAGTGATTAACCATGGTTAAAAAACAAACCCTTGAGCAGCATTATGTCTACAGATGACCACAACATTACCAAAAAATGGGACCATCAAATGATTATTGCTCACTTGTTTTCTCTTGTTCTAATAAATGTTTAAAATGTATAGGTACAGTATTCTGCATTTCCTTTAAAAACAATACTGTGAACCAAGTACATTTTTTTTTCATTTTGACAGAGAAAAATGCAAAGGGCACAGTAAAAGCCAGTTATCTGAAATTTAAAGAAGAGCCATCCAAATTACTGTCTGGAAATAAGTTTCAAGACCGTTATTTTGTTCTCCGGGAAAGAAATCTTCTACTTTACAAGGATATGAAGGTATGAATACCTATACTGAGTCCTTTTAGATCATTAGCAATTATACTTAAAAACATTTTCTGCTTTAAATAGTGTTGCTTGGCAGTTGACATTGTTTTTTGTTCTGTCTGCTTTTAATGAAGTTAGAAAATAACCTGATTTATGGTACTGGGATGAGTAAAAAGTGATGGTTTAAAAAAGAATTTCTTCTCATTTGCACAACAATGTACTCCAGTGTAGCATTTAATTCAAGCATACTTGAATGTATTGCCAACACTTTTTAGAAGAGCTTCACTTATTTTGTTGAGTTTGAATAGCCTTGTTTAAGTAATCTAGACAGCAAAAATATATTGGTTTATTCCATACTCCTTGTATATGGCACCATCAATAAGGCTCTAACTTATGAACAAATTATAATGCTGATTCTAGACAAGGTAAAAAGCAGTAGTGGAGAGGTGTGGGTAAGGGAGAATGGGGGAAAGCATTTTAAAACAAGAGTACAACAAGCAACTGCATTATAGTTTTAAAATAAGTTGAGGAGTAAGGACAGGTGGGGGCATGTCTAAAGCTCTCCAACACTCGGCTTTAAGGAAGATTGGACCATGCAGAATGGCATAATGGTGCTGTGATGTTTGTATTTCAAGAACAAAGGTCAATGAACAAATTCAGTTAAAGTCTGTAGGCTTCATGTGTGCAACCCAATAGAGCAAGGGTGTCAAACTCATTTTTATTGAGGGCCACATCAACCTTATGGTTGTCATTGAATTTATGGACAGAGAATCCATGAATACAGAGGGCCAACTACATTTTTTTTACATAATCGTTTTTGGTCTTTAGTCTTTACCCAGTTTGGGTCCCCAGATGTTATAGAATGGCAAATTCCATCGTTTTTGATTGCCTGCCATGCAGACTAGGGATGTTGGGCATTGCAACCCAACAGCACTTGTAACCCTGAAGCTGGGGGGAAATTAGAGGACATTTTAAAGTCAGACATCATATCCATAAGCCTTGCATCTGAATTCAGACCCCACTCTCCTGAATACATAGAACAAACTCCAGCCTTCCAGATGTTATTGTACCACAACTCCCATCTGCTCCTGCTCATGATGTCTAATCATGAGGACTATAGGACTTGTAATCCAACATTTTGAGGGCCACATAACATGACATGGAGGGCCGGATTGGGCCCTCAGGCCTTAAGTTCAACACATGTGCAATAGAGTATTTCAGGTAAACATAAATGTGTATGTGTGCATTGACCTACTTTAGAATAATTTCTTTTCTCAATACATATTTTTGAAATTAAACCATCTCAGTTCATCGGTGCTGTGAGAAACTTAATGATAAGAGGCAGTTCAATTTTAGTTCAATTATCTACCTTTTTAAAGAGATTTTATATGAAAAGCTTTGAAATTCTAAACAACCATGAAAACTAAAAGGCAGCCATTAAGACACAAAGCCTTCTAAAAATTGTTGAAGCCAATTAATAGGGTTAAGTTAATGTAAGGGACAGACAAAGGAAAAGAGGAAGCCTTATTTGAAGTCAGGCATAGCCTTGCTTTCTTGTGTGCCTTCAAGTAATTTCTTACCTATGATGGCCTTAAGGTGAACCTATCACAGGGGTTTTGGGGGCTGAAAGTGTGTGATTTGCTCAGGGTCATTCTTTGTCTTTCCACTGCTGAGCAGGGATTTAAACCCTGATCTCCAGGGTCCTAGTCAAACACCCAAACCAATATACCACCCAGCCTCAAATAAATACTTGGAATTTGAACTTCAACTTAGGCTGCTTTTGTCACATATAGAAGAGATGGCTTTTGTGCATGCCACATGTCAGCTTTCCCCAAAAGCCTAAGATGCAGCAACAGTTTTCAGAAACTCAAGGCTGACAAATTGACTTATTCCATGCCAAATTTTAGAAGAAATAATAATAATAATAATAATAATGTATTGTCGAAGGCTTTCATGGCTGGAATCACTAGGTTCTTGTGGGTTTTTTCGGGCTATAGAGCCATGTTCTAGAGGCATTTCTCCTGACGTTTCACCTGCATCTATGGCAAGCATCCTCAGAGGTAGTGAGGTCTGTTGGAACTAGGAAAAAGGGTTTATATATCTGTGGAATGACCAGGGTGGGAGAAAGGACCCTTGTCTGCTGGAGCCAGGTGTGAATGTTTCAACTGACCTCCTTTATTAGCATTTGATGCCTCTGACTCCAAGTGACCAGATACTGGTCAAAGGACATTTAATCAACTACCAAGCTTGCAAACTTTGTGTTTTGTCTGTTTGTTTTTTTAAAAATGTAATACAAATGTCTGGTTGCTCCTGACACGATAAATAAATAAATAAATAAATAAATAGCATTTGATGGCCCGGCAGTGCCCGGGGCAATCCCTTGTCGAGAGGTGGTTAGATGTCCCAGATTGTTTCCTCTCTGTTGTTTTGCTGATGTAACAGACATCTAATCACCTCTCAACAAAAGATTCCCCCAGGCACTGCCAGGCCATCAAATGCTAATCAAGGTGGTCAGTTGAAACATTCACACCTAGCTCCAGCATACAAGAGTCCCTTGTCCCACCCTGGTCATTCCATATTTATTTATTTTATTTATTGATTTACTTCGCTTGTATACTGCTCTTCTCAGCCCTTAGGCGACTCAGAGCGGTTAACAACAACAGTTTCAATATACACAGTACAAAATCATTGGACATTTAAAAGCATAGCGATTAAACATCAAACATCAATACATCAATTTAACAAATCCATCACGTCTCATCAATAGAATCAGAATCCAGTCTCAATATCCATTATTCCGTGTTCCAATAATCAATTACACTGCCTAGTTGAATGCCTGTTCAAACAGCCAGGTCTTCACTCTCCTCCGGAATGCCAGTAGGGAGGGGGCCGATCTAATATTCGTAGGAAGGGCGTTCCACAGCCGAGGGGCCACCACTGAGAAGGCCCTGTCTCTCGTCCCCGCCAGGTGTGCTTGTGAAGCCGGCGGGATCGAGAGCAGGGCCTCTCCAGATGATCTTAATGTCCTAACTGGTTCATAGGAGGAGATGCGTTCGGACAGGTAAGTCGGGCCAGAACCGTTTAGGGCTTTAAAGGCTAAAGCCAGCACTTTGAATTGTGCCCGGTAGCAAATTGGCAGCCAGTGGAGCTGGCGCAACAGTGGAGTTGTATGCTCCCTGAGTGCCGCTCCTGTTAGCATCCTGGCTGCAGATCGTTGGACCATTTGAAGCTTCTGAGCAGTCTTCAGAGGCAACCCCACGTATATATTTATATATTCCATAGATATATAAACCCTTTTTCCCAGTTCCAACAAAAAGGGTTTATATATCTATGGAATATATAAATATATACGTGGGGTTGCCTCTGAAGACTGCTCAGAAGCTTCAAATGGTCCAACGATCTGCAGCCAGGATGCTAACAGGAGCGGCACTCAGGGAGCATACAACTCCACTGTTGCGCCAGCTCCACTGGCTGCCAATTTGCTACCGGGCACAATTCAAAGTGCTGGCTTTAGTCTTTAAAGCCCTAAACGGTTCTGGACCGACTTACCTGTCCGAACGCATCTCCTCCTATGAACCAGTTAGGACATTAAGATCGTCTGGGGAAGCCCTGCTCTCGATCCCACCAGCTTCACAAGCCACGCCTGGCGGGGACGAGAGACAGGGCCTTCTCAGTGGTGGCCCCTCGGCTGTGGAACGCCCTTCCTACGAATATTAGATCGGCCCCCTCCCTACTGGCATTCCGGAGGAGAGTGAAGACCTGGCTGTTTGAACAGGCATTCAACTAGGCAGTGTAATTGATTATTGGAACACGGAATAATGGATATTGAGACTGGATTCTGATTCTATTGATGAGACGTGATGGATTTGTTAAATTGATGTACTGATGTATTGATGTTGATGTTTAATCGCTATGCTTTTAAATGTCCAATGATTTTGTACTGTGTATATTGAAACTGTTGTTGTTAACCGCTCTGAGTCGCCTAAGGGCTGAGAAGAGCAGTATACAAGCGAAGTAAATCAATAAATAAAATAAATAAATATGGAATGACCAGGGTGGGACAAGGGACTCTTGTATGCTGGAGCTAGGTGTGAATGTTTCAACTGACCACCTTGATTAGCATTTGATGGCCTGGCAGTGCCTGGGGGAATCTTTTGTTGAGAGGTGATTAGATGTCTGTTACATCAGCAAAACAACAGAGAGGAAACAATCTGGGACATCTAACCACCTCTCGACAAGGGATTGCCCCGGGCACTGCCGGGCCATCAAATGCTATTTATTTATTTATTTATTTATTTATCGTGTCAGGAGCAACCAGACATTTGTATTACATTTTTAAAAAAACAAGCAGACAAAACACAAAGTTTGCAAGCTTGGTAGTTGATTAAATGTCCTTTGACCAGTATCTGGTCACTTGGAGTCAGAGGCATCAAATGCTAATAAAGGAGGTCAGTTGAAACATTCACACCTAGCTCCAGCAGACAAGAGTCCTTTGTCCCACCCTGGTCATTCCACAGATATATAAACCCATTGTCCTAATTCCAACAGACCTCACTACCTCTGAGGATGCTTGCCATAGATGCAGGTGAAACGTCAGGAGAAATGCCTCTAGAACATGGCTCTATAGCCCGAAAAAAACCCACAAGAACCTAATAATAATAATAACTTTATTTATACCCCGCCACCATCTCCCCAGGGGACTCGGCGGCTTACATGAGGCCAAGCCCAAATACAATAATACAAGCAATAACAAGAACAATACAAGCAATTTAAAAAACAACAAAACAGAA